ATATCCAAAATATATAAGGAACTCATACAACTTAACAAAAGGAAGATAAACAATCCAATTTTAAAAATGGGCAAAGAACCTAAATAGACACTTCTCCAAAAGGGACATACAGATGGCCAAGAGACATATGAAGAAATGCTCAAAGTCACTGATCATCAGAGAGCTGCAAATTCAAATAGCAATGAAGTATAACCTCACACTTGTCAGAATATCTAGCATCAACAAATCAACAAACAACAAGTGAAGAAAAGGGAACCCTATACTCTAGTGGTGGGAATGCAGACTGGTGCAACCATTATGGAAAATAGTACAGAGTTTCCTCAAAAAACTAAATATGGAACTGCCATTTGACCCCGTAATCCCACTTCTAAGAATATATCCTAAGATACACTAATTAGAAACACTAATTAGAAAGAATGTATGCACCCCTATGTTCATAACAGCACAATTTACAATAGCTAAGATCTGGAAACAGCCCAAGTGTCTATCAGTAGGTAAGTGGATAAAATAAAGCTGTTGTACATTTACACCATGGAATATTATGCGGCAGTAAAAAAGAAGGATCTCTTATCCTTTGATACAGCATGGAGGGACCTGGAGACTATTACATTAAGGTAAATAAGCCAATCAGAGAAAGACAAGTATAACATGATGTCACTCTTATGTGGAATCTAATGACTAGAATAAACCAAATAGATCAAGAGACACAGGAACATGGAAAAGACTGATGAATCTCAGAGGAAAGGCAGGGGTAGGTGGATGGGAAGAGATGAGCCAAAGAACTTGTATGCCTATATGCACAGCCCATGGACACAGACAATAAGGTGGTAAAGGCCTGGGATGGGGGCAAGGAGTGGGCTATAAGGAGTCAATGGGGGAAAAAGGGAGACAAATGTAATACTTTCAACAATAAGATTTAAAATAATAACTAGCTAATCCTATATAATAAAAGCCTAATATGCTAAGTGTCCAGTTGTCCAAAGTATAATATGTTAATGTTATGATAAGGTTGCTCAACTGCTCACTATGATGTGCTCTGACCATCAGGTGGCAGATGCTCAGACTAGTAGGTTAGCTTGCTGCTGGGGTCCAGCCGATCGGGACTGAGCGAGATGGGCAAAACACACTCTGGAGCCTTCCCACAGTCTTTCCTTGGCTGGCCAACCTCCCATGTCCCTCCCTTGCTTCGATCATGCACCAATGGGGACCCTCAGCCTGGCCTGTACCCTCTCTCAATCTGGGACCCCTCAGGGGATGGAGAACTGGTTTCGGCCCAATGGTGGAATGACCGGTCGCTATGATGCGCATTGACCACCAGGGGGCAGACACTCAATGCAGGGCTGCCCCCTTGTGGCCAGTGTGCTCCCATAGGGGGAACACCACTCAGCCAGAAGCCAGGATCATGGCTGGCAAGTATAGCAGCAGTTGCAGGAGCTTCTCCTGCCTCTGCAGCAGTGCTGAGGATGTCTGACTGACAGCTTAGGCCCATTCCCCAAGGGGACCTAAGCTGTCAGTAGGATATCTCCTGAGGGCTCCTGGACTGCAATAGGACTCAGGCCAGACTGAGGGACCACCCCCTCGCCCCGAGTGCATGAATTTTGTACACCAGGCCTCTAGTTACAAAACTAAAAATCAATGAAAAAAATATCCTCCGGTGAGGTTAAATAAATAAAATTACCTACAATACCCCAGTCTTTTGTACTGACTGTAGAGATTAAAGGCTTAAGGAGTTTCCTAAAGAAATCCATTAACAAACATACCCTCCAAAAATTTTTTCCAACCAATAATACATTTCAATTATACATTCCAAAATATAATTGGAAATACTGTATAAGACTCACAGAGATTGATAGAGGAATTATAACTTCAGACAGGAAAACCAAGATTAACAATTCTGTTCTCACAAATTAACCACTATTATTACTGATCCATAACCTGCCTGAAAATAGTAAGTTCTAGGGGACACTGTAATGACTCGGTCACTTGGATTATTTCATGACACACAGCTCAAATATAAACCACTGTTCTCTTTATTTTTTTCAAACAAGGCTGGATTTATTATTTCAGACAACTGCACAGTAACTTTTAGTTTGTTCATGTTCCTGGCATCACAAATCTGAAATACAATTTTGTTTCTCAATTAAGAACATATACTCTGAAAAGTGATTAGGTTTGTTATTTTTTTAATCAATCATCCTACCTAAAGAATATTTTTTAAATCTTTGCTAGACAACATACTAGCTTTATATTTTATAACTTCTGCATAAAAATGAAAAAAAAATTAAAGCATACAAATTTCACATTTTTCCTATATTTAAAATATCTTTTGTTTCCTTTAACGGATTTCTATATCCATTACAAAATATTTTTAAGCTCACCGAAACCGGTTTGGCTCAATGGATAGAGAGTCGGCTTGGGGACTGAAAGGTCCTGGGTTCGATTCCAGTCAAGGGCATGTACCTTGGTTGCAGGCATATCCCCAGTAGGGGGTGTGCAAGCGGCAGCTGATCCATGACTCTCTCTCATCGATGTTTCTAACTATCTCTCTCCCTTCCTCTCTGTACAAAATCAATAAAATATATTAAAAAAGAAAAAGAAAAAAAAAGAAATCCTTATTTAAAAAAAAAATATATATATATATATATTTTTTTTTTTTTAAGCTCTACTGCCCATTTAAGACAGAATAAAGGAATTTGAGAGTATCTGAACCAAGCATCATCTTCACTGAAATGAACCAAGAATTCTATCAGGATCCTCCTGGGCTTCCCGGCCATGCCTTCCTGCAGATATGAAATCTCATCGTTTTTAGTCATCATACCTGCTGTGTCTAAATGTCCCCCTTTGGATGAGTTACAAATGCTTTCAGGAATGTTGCGCCTGGGCATGCTGAGGCAGATCTATAACTTCCAATGTTATTAAATCAGCAAGCTGGCAATCTACAACCTATCTTGCATAATGTTCAGTACCACAGTTCTCTTTAAAATTAGGAATCTTTGTCTCTTGGCAAACATCAAGATCAAAGGTCAAATGAAGGATTCTTAGCCTGAGGTCTAGACTCCGTCTCTCTCTAAGTTCATCTCAAAAATAGATGAAATTTATAAATAAGTATCTGCAGCCTCTAAGAAGATTACTGCATGTTGGAAGGTTCTATTTCTAATGACAAATGGTTAATTAATCTGTATAGTTCAGGGTACTGGGGCATAGTTAAATGAGAATCAGAGAGCTCCCCTCCCAAAAAAATTAATTTTTCCCTTTCTTTCATTCTTTTTTTTTTCCTCTTCATATACTTTGTTTTTCTACTTCCTTATTTTTTTTTTAAATCCTCATCCAAGGATATGTTTTACTAACTTTGGAGCAAAGGACAGGGAGAGAAATATCCACCAGTTGCCTCCAGTGTACACCCCTCAGACACTCCAACTGAGCTACACAAACCACCACTCCACTTCCTTAGTCTTTTTACACCAAAGCAATTATCAGTAGTTGCTTGAAATTTATTACCCACAATAATTGGGAGAAAAATTACAACCATTAAGTTGGTCTAGCACAATTTCTGGTAAACACTTAATACATGCGACTTTTGCTTTTCTTCCTTTCTCAGCTCTAGTGTACAATGCAGCCATAACTATTCATCAGATATTTGAGCTTTATCTTTGAACTAAAGAACTATACTGTGGTGCATGAAGAGTTGCATGCATACTGTGTAATTTTATATTGATGCTTAAGCAAGTTTAAAAATGTATTGATTGTTGAGAGAGAGAGAGATTTGTTGTTTCACATGTTTATGCATTCATTGGTGTATTTTGCCCTTACCAGAGGTCAATCCCACAACCTTAGAGTATCAGGACAATGTTCTTATCAACTGAGCTATCTGGCCAGGTCTATAATTTTATGTTTTGTTCAAAGAGTTGATAGAATATAGACATCATTCATATAAATTTTAAAAATATACAGCAATTTATTATGTTTTACATGATACAAAATACCTATAGTGGGGAAAAAATAGTTTATTCTCTAAAACTGTCAATGAAACATAAGATACATTCTTAATGTGAATCATAGGTTTAGGAATGATAAAACTACTTTCTCCAAAGACACAATATTAACTATGTCCCTCTGTTGATAATTCTTTCATTAAAATCTATTTTAGTTTTCATAGTTCCCTTTGTCCTTCAATAAACAGTAACATTCTGGCAACTTATTCAGGTAATAAAAGTTGGAATCATTCATTCTTTCCATCATTAAGTTCTACTTTTTCTAACCTGGAGCTTGTGTGACCAGCACAGTAAAATTTAAGGAATGTACCCCTGGTTTCCACACCCACCCCAACACAATCTGGTAGCTCATCCTCATGGAATCCAATTAGTAACTGGTAAGATTCTGGTGATGCTGTCTGAAAATGTGTCCACTTGTTCTCTAATTCAGTAAAACTACTGGCTCACATGTGAAGCCAGTGAAAGGAAGGTGAAGGCGAAGCTGGTGCCCCTGAGAAGCTGTTTTGGAATAAAGCTGTGAGCCTCCCACTCAGTTCAAATTAACAGGCCACTGTCTCTTCTGCTTTCATCGGAAGAAGCAAAAACAAGACAGTATCTGCTATGATCAATAGTACATAGTCTCAGGTACATTTGTTTAGGTTTACTTCCTTGCCTTCCAAGAAAACTAGATATTCAGGCACTAGTTCATGATGACACAATTAAAATTTACCTTTACAAACATAAAAATGAAGATATGTCATTTGTAGCGAAAATTCAAATTAATTTTCTTATGTTTTTCATTATTTAATTTCTAAATAGCAACAGAGGTAAGAACTTTTTAATGTGATTTAATATCACAAAAGAATCTTGTTTTCTCAAAAAAGGACTGCTTTAAAATTCCAAGAAGGTCAAACTAAGTACCATAAAATAATTAAGGTCTGCCCATCATAAGTAAAACCCTTCAACTATTATTGAAATGTAAGTTAATTACTCCCAGGAAAAAGGTGGTATCAGCATAGAAAAGATGACTTAAGGGGTCTTTTTGTTTTCCAAAACAGATGGACATGTGTGAGCTCTAATATCATTGTGTTTAGAAACGGCTTCATCCAGATCCAGCTGTACACCATTCACATTCACTTCCATGCAGCCATTAAAAAAGGCTGTCACTGGTGCTGCGTTGAATGGAACACCTGTTAAAAGAGAATATTAAAAAATTAGTCCAAGACTTTTACCAACTTATTTACTTACACTTAGAGGAATTACTCAAACTTCCCATTTCTGACCAAATTCTACCCCTAAAGGAAGTTAATTATGTAATTCTATTTAATGAATTTATATAAGAGAGTCTTATGTGTATAAGACACTGTGCATAGCATTGAACTCAGAATACATGAGTTCCTTTCAGTTCATAAACACAATCAGTTCCACCCAAACCTAAGATAAACACACTTGAGAGAAATAAGCACATTCTTACTTATAATGTTGAACTTAATTATTGTCTCTTTCAGTCTGAGCAACAGTTTAAGTATTGTTAAATCACTTTTTCAACTCTAAATTATAGTGACTTAGAAATCTTTTTTAAATGCCATGATAAATATGTTTCTTTTATTATTACTGGGATTAAAGCAAATTTCTTTATTTTCCAAAGAAATAGTTTCTTGCTGAGCACACATTGGCAGATCATGATAGGGAATTCACTTTTATGTAATGTTTGGTTCTAAAAAATAACAATTTTAATGATACTTCAGTGAACAGTTTATGGCCTTTGGGGCTTTCTACACTTTCATTCTCTTTATCAAATTTAATATGTAGTAACATCCTTGGATTCCTAAGAACTACGGTTCACTGTAAAAATACCTATCTCTTTATTGCTTTTTTTTTTTTTGCATCTCCACTCCATGAAACTTAATTCCCAATAGATATTCTCAGTCCTTACTCTTTTTCCTCACTACCTTATGCAAATATATATATACTTTAAATTTTCTACCTCTAACTTGACAATATACTTTTTTGTGGGCTTATATTTATTAAGAAATCCTTTTAACTGTGGTTGAACACTATAGATTATGCCACTATTATAAAAAAAAAATCTCAGGATGATCAATTTTCCCTAATTTTTAATTCATAACATGCAATTTAATATGCCAATTTTGCACAACAATTATAATTTACCCATCCCATAGGTGACATACACTATTAATATCTGGATTTTCTGTTACACTTAATTTTTCCTCACTTTTTTTTAAACCCATCTTGCCTAAAGTCAGTCTTCAGTGCAGTTTTGCCAAAGCCCTGGAACTCCTGGAGTTTTCATAATTTTACTTATTTTGAAAACTGCATTCAAATAATTTGTGAATGAAATAGTAGTGGGTTTCGATGTAGAATTTATTCATTTGAACTCTAATTATAATTTCTAATAATTAACCATGCTAACTTAACTAACTTCCTATTAATCAGCCAACATATTTAGCTATCTTTATCTATTTACCTATAACTGTTAGAGTCTATTTATTTCTATTCCTCCAAAAGCCAGATAAAAATTCCATATATGGGAAATGAAGATCCTGATCTGTTAAAGTAATGGAATGAAGGTTACTACAGTCCAGACATCGAACTCAGAATTCTCCCCATAAGAGTAACCTGCAAAAGTATTTGAAAATTCTTTTAAAGAACTTTCTGCTTCAAATTTCTTTGGCCTTTTAAATTAAAATATTTATGCCAATTTCATATTTCCTAATATAAAATTAAAGAGGAACCTGCTTTTTCTCTATTATGGTGTAAATTCCCCATCCATGCTACTGCTCATGCCAGATACCTAGGAGATCTTATAATTATTAAATCCTATTAATTTAATTTCTCTTATACATCTCCAGTCTAATAACTGTATACCATCTCCATTGCCATCAGTATAGTTCAACAGCCTCCTCATCTGTAAAATAGGATAATGATAGTACCTACCTCATAAAACTATTTTGAAAATTCAATGAGTGGATACATTTGAAGCACTATGAACAGATAGTACAGTTATTGCTGCTATTATTAATACTGCACCTTCATCTGGACTACTTCAGGTAATCCAACTCATCTTGTTCATTTTTGCCTCTCATGTGTCCATCCCCATCATGTGTCCATACAGGGTGCTATATTGATAATATACAACTTGTTTGTCTAAAACTTTGTAATGACCTTCATAGTTTCTAAAATTAGATTCCAGACCCTGTCCTAGGACTACAAACCTCCTAATTCACCCTACCCCCACCCAGTTCAGAGCCTCATCCTGCACTGCCATCCCCTGCTCAGTATGCTTTCACCATACTGATCTCTATATTCCTCAAGCATGTCAATCCCTTTTCCAGCACATAGATAATTTTATTTGCATATTAATGCTAATCCCCACCCCCACCACCTAGGTATAGTCTTTTAATCCTTCAAATATCAGATTTATATATTGGGTGGGGAGAAGTAGAAGAAGGTAAAGAGGAAATAAATGGTAATGGAAGGAGACTGAATTAGGACAATTTTATTTTTTTAAATTTTTCTACTTACTTGTTTAATGTCTGCCTCTGTCACTAGATTGAAAAACCCTTAATATTACTATATTCCTAGTGCCTAGGATGTAGGTTCTTAAGAAATACTGAGTGAAGAATGGATGAGTTAAGAATAAGTATTGAATTCACAAGACTATTATGAGGATGGAATGAAATAATAAATTCTTTCTAGCTAGGATAGCCAAATGAGGCAAAATGTGGTTAGTTTCAGTTCACATTTTAAAAAATAAACAAAAATGTACAATAAAATGTCAATTCAAGCCATGAAGAAAAGAATAATGGATACAAGGATTCTTTTTTCCTTTCTGATGTCCTTTTACTAAAATTATTTATTTAAAATACTATTGTTAGGTTTGATCAAATAATCCCTGCCCCTCCCCTGAGAATTGACCTTTAGGCCACTTCAGAATGCACATTCCCTTCCCTTTAGACCACATTCCACTTGCTAAGACCATTATTTCTCCCTTCTGGTCTTTCCCAGGATCCAGACCTGCACAGAGAATTCTCTGCCCAGAAATAAACCACCTAGAATCCTTTAAAAATCTCTGACTCCCTGTCCCTGAGTGCTGGCATCATTTGGGGGCTCAGCACATCTGGTATTCAGATGACCTAATAAATTCATAATTCTTCACCACTTTGGCCTCATGCGTTCTTCCTTCGATGACCCTAACAACTACCACTGTGATTAAAAATACACTTTTTAAAACTGAAGAAAAAGTAAGCAGATACCTGGAAGGCCACCCAGGTAAGTGGCAACTGTTCCTTTCATTGCTTTGTCCAAGATGCCAAATTCTCTTTGAAGATCTTCAGAGTAGATGATGTCATTTTTAACTGGAGTCAACAGCATCAGATGTGTTCTGTTGAGTCTGAATTCCAGATGAGATTGCTGACTGGAACACAGACTTAAGGACTCTATCCGGGATATTACTGTATTTTCAACAGATACCAGGATATCCTAAAGAACAGGCAGACTAAGTATAAGCAAGTACTGATGGGAATACTACTTAAGAATGATTTAGAGTTTTTGGAACTGAATTCCAATGAGAAAAAATGTATGATAGAGCCTCCAAATTTAAATGAAAACAATACTACTTATTATCTATATATATAAAAGGCTAATATACAAAGTGTCCCCTTGGGAGTTCGACCTGAAGACTGGGAGTTCAATCGCTTGCTATGATATGCATTGACCACAAAAGGGTGGCTCAGAATGAAGGAAGGCCCCTGCTGACAGCCAGAGAAGGAAGGCCCTAGCCAGCAGCTGGAAGGCTCTGATTGGCCCTGATCACCAGCCAGGCCTAGGGACCTTACCCATACAAGAATTTTGTGCACTGGGCCTCTAGTAATAATCATAATTTTAGAATATACATTAGTTTTATAAACTTCAGGTTTAGCTAAGATGTAAATGTATGGTGACTTCTGAAAATTCAATAAACCATCAGAGTTGTGATACTAACAACTAGAACCTAAAGTAGTGTCTTAAGCAATATTTTTCTATCAATGAACCTTCTTTACTTCATGACTTGCATATAAAAAATAAAGACCCTGAATCACTATTTGTTAGGAAAAAAGACTTGGAAAACGTAAAGTGCTTTAGTAAGACTAGATATTTTTGTGTCACCCAAGCAATCTAATAGACTTGGGAAAAAGTAAATGAGGAAAACTGGAGAGAGAAACAACAGGGATCACCAGCTGTAATTTACAGAGTATTTAACAGATGATTCTCAAAAGAGAATATATATTTATTTTGCTGAACTTTTCAAACTACTGATACACAAAAGTACTCAACTTGTTGAGTGTGATTTATGCACATAGCTTATATACGTAGACAGGAAATTTAATGCCAAGAGAGAAAATAAAATCAAAACTAGGGAGATGCAGTGCTATCATGCTTCCCAGACATCAGAGAGTCTGAAAGTGTCTACTCAGGAATCCAAGATGCCTGTGTTAAGTCTATACATCTCAAATACAGGTTATTCAAGAAGATCTGTTACTGTGATATATGTTTCAGATCCTTGAACTTGTTTAGACTTAAAGATGGTCAGCTGAAAGATGTTCCAGAATGATCAATAGTGTGTGGAATAATATAAAACAAAGTACACAGATCCTGAGAAAGCAACCTGACATGCCAAAACAGGGAGCCATGGAGACAAATGGCAAAGGGATGACATAAATATCAAAGGCATGGCCAGCAGGAGTTAATCTCCACCACATGGATTTAATGTTAAAGATAGGAATTCCATTTTGTTAAAATAAAAATAAATAAATAAAATAAAAACATACGCACACACAAAACACACACACATACACACACACACACACACACACACACACACACACACACAAAACAAGCAAACAATAAGCTGAAATCCCAGTATGATAAGCTCTTGTGGTGATAGATTAGAGAGAAAAACTCAGCAGGATCTTTTTAGGTTGCTTACAGTTAACCATCAGAAACTCCTCCAAGTTATCTTTTAAGTTGCAAACAACACCTTTTTATTACTACAGACATTACTCAATTATATATCTCTTTCTAAAAGCCCCAGAGAGTATCCATGCCAATCTTGGCACAAATGTAAGCTTCTTGCTGTAACTTGTTGGAATCCACAGCGGACGATATGAGAGCAGAGCTATTAGCCTCTAATGGAAAGCTGGATAATACAGATCTTCTGATAAGTCTCATGTTTCCTCTAAGCAAGAGTTTTTCCTGTTCTGCCTCCTAATTTTAAACCAGAATTGCCAGCAAGAAGCCACGTGAACTGCTTTTAGTTTTCTCTAGTCTTTCCTAATTGACTCGTGAGAGAAAAGATTAAGTGTGCCAGAAAGCACAAGCATTATAATTAGGCACTGAATAGCTGAGAACAGATTGTAGTCAGACTCACTTCTATTATGCCAGTTCAGACGAATTCCCATGATTCCTCCAAAATTCTGAATAAGGGTGGATCCCTAAGTACTCTGAAAAGGCTCCGAGCAGCCTGTGTGTGAGTCTGCTTAATCTTAGCCACACATGGAATAAAGCTTTTCAATTTCTCACCCTTATGTCTTGGTTCAGATCTCAGAAATAAGCCAACAAAAAAGTAACAATAATGGACATCTATTGAGTCCTTAATGATGTGCTAGAGATTGTATCAAATACTTTACTTCAGCAATCTCATTTAATCATTAGAATAGCACTTTGATGTAAAGATTGCTATTATATCCATTTTACAGATTTAAATAAAAAGCAAGGATCATAGCCCGGCTTGCATGGCTCAGTGGCTGAGCGCTCACCTATGAACCAGGAAGCCATAGTTTGATTCCTGATCAGGGCACATGCCCAGGTTGCAGGCTCATTCCCCAGTGTGGGGCGTGTAGGAGGCAACATATCAATGATTCTTTCTATTTATTGATGCTTCTATCTCTCTCTCCCTCTCCCCTCCTTTCTGAAATCAACACAAATATACTTAAAAAGAAAAACAAAAAATAAGAATCATAAAGGGTTAGAATAAAGTTACCTGAAGCTTCTCAGAGGAGGAGTCCACCAAGGACAAGGCAAAAGGCACGGTGTCACCTGAAACCAAGGCAAACATAACACCAGTGCCCGTGGAGGGACGAATATTCAAAAACACATCCACATGCCAAGCATCAGAGTTGGATATATTACCTGTTTAAACAAATAAACAAAAATTATGATCAAAGGACACCAGAAGGGATTATTATAATCCTATTACTATTCAAAGCCATTTTTGTGTAATACTAGAGATTGTAGTTCTCCCTGCTCAATAATCTATATAACCTAGGCAAAACAAAACACAGAGAAAAATTAATGCAGGAAAGAAACACATAAACGAAGCCTAAGCTTTCTGTACCTTCCAGAGTGGAATTCCGGACAGTGGCATTTTAAGATTATGAATTTTTCCTGTTTGCTCTTTAACAGCTCTTCCTTCTGCTTTGTCCGTTCACCAATGATCAAATCTCAGAGTGGTCATATTTTAAAGTACACATTTAGAAGGAAATTCAACATCTTTATTGTAATATATCTGAGGGGAAATTTGGGTATAGCTACCATCACAAGATCACCACTTCCCATCCATAAAGAGGTGAGGTTAGAGCAATAGAAAGGTAAAATATGATTTCTATGCATAGGGGAGTTGGGGAGTTTGATAATAGGGAAATACTCTTAAGTCAACAGCTAACTTTAAGATTTGATAAAGACTCTTCTGTTATTCTCTTGCATAATACCTAATATTCTTTTTCTTAATTACTAGGTTAATTGCCTATCACACTACAATGCCTATCACTGTGTTTTCCATAGAAGTCACTCAACACATATTTCTTGAATTAATGTTTCCAAAATTGTTTGATTCCTAAAAATATTAGTTCAGAATCTGAATGCAATTTTCCTCGTTTAATAAAGTAAAATATAGCAATAACTCAAATACAACTTAAAGGCTTTGAAAGTATGAATGTGAATGGAGAAAATAATTTTCCTTTAACAATGTGTTCTTCCATTTAGCCACATCTAATGCTATTATATTTTTTCATAATAATAGTCTAATTCCTATTTAAGAGAAAATATATATTATATATAATCATTTTGAATTAAGTAAATTTAAGGCAATAACAAAGTCAAACTAAAATAAACATGCAAATGCTCAGAAACTATAATGTAAAATTAAATATTAATTTAAAAGTAGATCTCTTTCAAATTACCCATAAAAAAACTAATTACTTATTAAGGTGTGATGTTTTGTTTTTTGTTTTAGTTTTTGGGTTTTTTGTGGGGTTTTGTGTTTTTTGTTTTTTTTGATACAATATAATTCTTATTTTCTTCTTTTTCTGAATATTTTTTTTCTTTCAAAAAATTGTTGTGGGCCAATTATTTTCCTGTATTCAGTCACCAATGCACTTTAAACATTTAAAAAAAAAATCCTTTAACTCTAGCCAGTTTGGCTCATTGGATATCATCAGCCCCTAGACTGAAAAGTCAGCAGTTCGATTCCAATCAAGGACACATACCTTAGTTGCAGGCTCAATCGGTGGCCTGCTCCAGGTATGTGCAGAAGGCAATCAATCAATGTGTCTCTCTCCCATCAATGCTTCTCTCTCTCTGTATCTCCCTCTCCCTTCTAATCTCTCTAAAAAATCTGTGCAAAAACATCCTTGGGTGAGAATTAACAAAAAAGAAAAAAAAAAGCCTTTATTTACAGAACAGAAATAAAAGTTTAAAGCACTGTATTAATTTATGTTTGGTTTTTTTTTTTGTTTTTTTTTTTAAAAAGGAAGTATTGGTATAAGGCTCTTCTGTAAAACTGTAGTAAGTCTTTTTCAGGTTGCAAATAAACTCAGTTAAAGTACAATGTTTTCTTAAAGCAGAGATATTAGGTTAACACTAACTTTATAATGTAAGTTCTTAGTAGCTCAAAGAATGAACTCATAAGACAGAAAAAGGCAAAGAACCCAATAAAGTAATTAAGATATACCATATAGAGAGATACTCGACTTTAGTAAAAATTGGAATAATACTATTTAAAACTATGTATAAGATTTAACTTATGGATTATCCAATTGAAAAGAAATCTCAAGCATAAACATGTTTTTTTTTTCTGTTGGTAGAAGTAGAAATTGACAAAAATATTTGAAAGAAAATGTGATCAAACAGTAAGAAGTATACAATTGCATACCCTCTAAGAGAAATAATCTAAGAATGTCCTAAAGACTTAATTACATAAATGTACAAGGATGTATGTCCAAGGATACTCATGGAAGTGTTATTTGCAAAGGTAAAAGCTTGGGATCAGTCTGGCAAGTCTATTTAGACTGTGGAAAACTGGAAAGAGCACTGTCCCCACCCGTACAACATCAAGAGCCCAATTATCTACATAATCACACTTTTCTTGGCAGAGCACCTAATCAGAAACCTAAAGAAAGACAGGAGGGACAGGATGGGAGTACTCATTTACCAACGCAAACATTAAATACTATACAATTAGGTAAGAAGAATTTAGGTTAAAATGGTTTTATCTTTATTGTTGAGAGTATTACAGATGTTGCCTTCTTTTCTCCCATTGCCCCCTATCCACTTGGTTCATGCTGGGTTACAACCCTATTGTTTGTGTTCATAGGTACTGCATATATGCATATGTTGTTGTTGTTTTTTTGTTAATCTCTTCCTGCCCTCCAATCACCTTTCCCTCTGAGATTTGTCAGTTTATTCCATGTTTCCATGCCTCTGGTTCTATTTTATTCATCAGTTTATTTTGTTCACTAGATTCCCATTTCATTTATTATTTTTAGATTCAATTGTTGATAGATATGTATTTATTGCCATCTTATTGTTCATATTTTTTATCTTTTTTACTCATTCTCCATCTTCTTCTTAAAGAATACCCTTCAACATTTCATGTAATTCTGGTTTGGTGGTGATGAACTCCATGAGTTTTATTTATTTTTTTTAATTAATTAATTAATTAATTTTTTGTCTGTGAAGCTTTTTATCTCACCTTCAATTCTAAATGACAGCTTTGCTGGGTAGGGTGATTTTGGCTGTAGGTCCTTGCTACACTTTGAATACTTTTTACCAGTCCTTTCCTGCCTGCATAGTTCCTATTGAGAAATCAGCTGATAGTAATATGGGTGCTCCCTTATAGGTAACTAACTGCTTTTCTCTTGCTGCTTTTAAGATTCTCTCCTTATCTTTATCCTTTGGCATTTTAAATATGATGTGTCTTGATGTGGGCCTCTTAGGGTTCCTCTTGTATGGGACTCTATTCTTCCTGGACTTGTAAGTCAATTTATTTCACCAGGTAGGGGAAATTTTCTGTCATTATTTCTTCAAATAGGTTTTCAATATCTTGCTCTCTCTCTTCTCCTTCTGGTACCCCCATGATGTGAATAATAGTATGCTTGAAGTCCGAAGGCTCCTTACACTCTCTTCATATTTTTTCTTTTTGCTCTTCTGACTGGGTAATTTTTATTTCCTTATATTCCAAATTGTTGAATTTATTATTGGCATCCTCTACTGTTGAATCCCTATCAATTATTATTTTTTTGTGTCTTTGATGTTCTCACTAATTTCCTTGAAATTCTCAATAAGACTCTTGAAAATCTCACCAAGTCCCTTGAAGCTCTCATTAAGATCCCTGAGCATCCTTATTAACCATTGTTTGGAACTCTGTATCTAGTAGTTTGCTTATTTCCATTTCATTTAGTTCTTTTTCTGGAGATTTCATTTGTGACCTGTTTCTTTGTCTCTGCATTTTGGCTGCTTCCCTATGTTTGTTTCTATGTATTAGGTAGAGCTGCTATGCCTACTGGAACTGTAAGAGTGGCCTTCTGAAGTAGGTGTCCTATAGGACCCAGTGGCTCATCCTCCCCAGTTACCTGAGACGGGCACTCTAGTGCACACCAGTGTCAACTTTGTGCAGTTTTATTGTCGTTAGCCTTGATTGTTGTTGATGGAATTGACTCCCAGGCCAATTGGAGGAATTGACCCCCAGGCCAATTGTCTGTGAGGACTAGCTGCAACTACAGCAGAAGAGCTGTTATGCTGGAGACACCCCTATGGAGCAGGACTTGCTTCAGTGGGGATTTGGTGCTCACTTAGTCTGACTCTTGAGTGTGTTGCTCATGGATGCATAAAGCTGTGATATATCATGATCTGAAGCTGTCCTCTGGATGCATTGGCTCTGGGGCCCTTTTGGAGGTGCAAAGTCTATGCCCTGCCTGGAACCACCTATCAGGAGCTACAGACTGATCTGCAGATGGCTGCTACTTGTGTTGGCCTTAGAAGTGCCCAGGAGAGGCCAAGCTGTTAAGCAAGGCAGGCTGCTGCTAGTGCTGGGACTGGGGCCTCTTATTGAGAGGTATGCCAGCTGATGCCTGTTTGTGATATTTTAGGAAAATCTGAAGCCTGATATAGGACAGGCTATTCATATGGAATAGCTGCCGCAAACAGCTTGGGTGGGGCTGCAAATTTGGTGGGTGGTATCTCAGAAAGTCACCTTAGTGAAGTATTATAAATACTATGAGCCAGGTTGGAGACTTGGATATGGAGACCTCAGGGGGAGGTCTCAGCATAGGAACAATGAGCCCTACAAGAACTCCTGTCTAGGAGAAAGCTGTCCCCAAATTCTTGATCTGATACCAGACAATCCAGTTCCTCCCATATGTCCCTGGATTCTCCCAAGCCACGGCCTCAAGCATTGGAGCTCAGAGGGAGTGAATCTGAATAAGTCCATGTGCTTCTCTTTAAGAGAAATTACCTGGGACTCCAGCAGCCTCCCTGTCACTCAGCCATAATCCCTGCTGGTTTTTATAGCTAAAGTTTTTGGGGAAGTGGGGGTTCTCTTCCCAGCACTGGAACCCTGGGCTGAGGAGTCTGGTGTGGGGCTGGGAATCCTTGCTCATCACTGGAGGCCTCTGAAACCTAGATATTCCTCCTGATTAAAAACATGGTACACATTAGGTGTCGGACAAGCCGGTCCACGCCTTTGCCCTTCCTACCAGTCTCAGTGTGGTTTCTTCTTTACTTCTCTAGTTGTAGGACTTCCATTCAGTCAGATCTCAGGCAGTTCTGAATGATGGTGGTTCTATATTTTAGTTGTAATTTTGATGTGGTTATGGGAGGCAGTGAGTACTGGTATTTACCAATGCCATCATCTTGGTTCTAGAACTAGGTAAAATTTTAACAGCTTGCTAAAGTTTTAGTGGGAGCTGGTGTGATAAATAAGCGCTGGGAATTTCAGAAACACGATAAATTCATACCGATTCACAGGCTTTCTACATATACCTTACTGGGTGCTCAAGAGAAAAACTGGGGGCAGAGAAAGAGATTAAAAAGTGCCATTTTCCTAATGCAGGCCTGGGAAAGAGAAACAGCAATCAGCAGGATAGGCACAAAGCCCCACCCAGATCGTTCTCTGTCTCTTCTACACAACTAAAGCATTAAAGCATGGGGGAAAGGTTGAAAACCTGTAACCATTAGGACACATGTGAAGACCCATGTACTTACAGATTATAGAATAGAAATAAGAAAACAAAACCATCTATCTACCATGAAAAAGAACAGAAAAATTACCTGAATCCTAGAAATCTCCCCACTGCTGTGATAGAGAGAGACAATGAAAAGTCCAATCCTGAGCCCCAGGAATACAACACTCACCTAATGTATATAGGCAGTTAGACAGACATGAGCAGAGCAAGGACAATGAGGCAGGTACAGACACTCACGAGAGCAGAAAGCCCTAGATGACTAACAAGGAGCAAAACTGGGAAAAAAAAGAACCTCATCCCCAGTATAACCTTTCCTCCCCTAGTAAAGCGATGATCATGCAATTTTAAAACCTCCCCCTCCCCCCCCCTTTTTCTTCCTAAAGATAACATCTAGGCCTCAGTTGTATTTTAACTCCAGGCCCCAAAAAGCAGCTAAACCAAACAAGTGATGCAATGGCTGACTCAGGACCTGCTACATTGACCCCTTGCCCTGGCACCGACCAATCAGTGAATACCCAACCCTGAAAGGGCACACCTGGAAAGTTGATGAATGTTCTTTTGAAAACTTCCCCTGAGACTTCCCCTAAGATTTTCAACTTCAATAGAGAGATAAATACACTGTGCCCCCCCAGGGAATACACATGCACAATTCCCTTTGCCTTTCTTTCCTCTAAGGGACCCCACAAGACTTGGAACCACGGGAGCAATAGGCAGCAGCAGTCGGTCCAGGGCTAACCTCCACGCCCTGTCTCCACGACCCCTTTTCTCTGACTTCTCAGTGAGTCAAAGCATCCCAGGACAGGCTTTCCTATTCCTTACTCTATGCCCTTCTTTGTTTCACTGTCCTAGGTATCTCTTTGCTACAGCCAATAAATCCTTACTTACTTTGCTACACTTTGTCTTTCGATTGAAATATTTCCTTCAACAAGACAAAAACCGAGGTTTCATCATCTCCCTGATAACAATAAGACTGAATCTGTTCCCAGAACAATAGAGAATAATCCCCCCCCCAAACCCTCCCTCCCACCACCAACCCCTCTAAGAGGCTAGCAAATGTCAAGGAATGAGTAAGAACACTCTACTGGGTGAAGCAAGACCATGTACAGACACTTTCCTGATGATGATCATAAAGAGAATACCTAACCCAGCCCAAAATGGCTTAGTGGTCGAGCATCAACCTATGACCCAGGAGATCATGGTTCAATTCCCCGTCAGGGCACATGCCCAGGTTGCAGGCTCGATTCCCAGTAGGAGGCATATAGGAGGCAGCTGATCAATGATTCTCACTCATAATTGATGTTTCTTTCTCTCTCTCTCTCTCTCTCTCTCTCTCTCTCTCTCTCTCTCTCTCTCTCCCTCTCCCTCTCCCTCTCCCTCTCCCTCTCTCCCTCCCTCTCTCCCTCCTTCTCTCTTTATCTTTGAAATCAATAAAAATATATGCTAAAATGAAAGAGAAAGAGAGAGAATACCTAAACCTTAGGACAGGTAAGCTATTAAGAAAACCCCTCTAGAGCAACATAGCAGGATACAAAATTAACACCCAGAAATCTATGGCATTTTTATATACCAATAATGATCTCACAGAAAGAGAAACTAAAAAAACCATTGCAACAAAAAAAATTAAGATACCTAGGAATAAACTTAATTAAGGAGGTAAAAGACTGGGAAAACTACAGAATGTTGAAAAAGAGATAGAGGAAGATATAAACGATTGGAAGAATATACCATGTTCATGGACTGGTATAATCAACATCATTAAAATGTCCATACTACCCAAAGCAATCTATAGATTCAATGCAATCCCCATTAAAATACCATAGGTATATCTCACAGACTTAGAACGAATTCTCCAAAACTTTATATGGAATAAAAAAGAAGACCCCCAATAGCCACAGCAATCCTGAGAAACAAGAACAAAGTAGGAGGGATCACAATACCAGATATCAAACTATATTACACAGCCTCTGTTCTCAAAACTGCCTGGTACTTGCATAAGAACAGACATATAGATCAATGAAAATAACACAGAACCCAGAAATCAACCCAAGCCAGTATGTTCAATTAATATTTGACAAAGAAGGCAAGAACATACAATGGAGTCAAGACAGTCTCTTTAATAAATGGTGTTGGGAAAATTGGACAGATACATGTAAAAAAAATAAAAATAGACCACCAACTTACACCATTCACAAAAATAACTCAAAATGGATAAAAATTTTAAACGTAAGACAAGAAACCATAAAAATCTTAGAAAAAGCCATAAGCAGCAAAATATCACACATATCTCGTAGCAATATGTTCACAGATACAGTTCTTAGGACAATGGGAACTAAGGAGAAAATAAACAAATGGGACTACATCAAAATAAAACGTTTCTGCACAGCAAAAGAAACCATCAACAAAACAACAAGAGAGCCCATTGAATGAGATAACCTATTTGCCAATGTTACATCCGATAAATGTTTAATCTCCAAAATTTATAGGGAACTCATACAACTTAACAAAAGGAAGATAACAATTCAATCAAAAATGGATAAAGAACCTAAATAGACATTTTTTTTAAAAGTAGACAGAAGGCCAAGATGCATATGAAAACATGCTCAAAGTCACTAATCATCTAAGATATGCAAATCAAAATGACAATAGGTACCATCTCATACCTATCAGAATGGCTATAATCAACAAATCAACAAAAAACTAGTGCTGGTGAGGATATGGAGAAAAAGAAACCCTCATGCACTGCAGGTAGGAATGCAGACTGGTGCAGCTATTGTGGGAAACAGTATGGAGTTTCTTCAAAAAATTAAAAACGGTACTCCCATTTGACCCAGCAATCCCACTTCTAGCACTATATCCAAGAAATCAGAAACATCTATCAAAAAGGATATATGCACTCCTATGTTCATTGCAGCACAATTTACAATAGCTAATATTTGGAAACAGCCTACGTGCCCATCAGCAGTTGAGTTTGTTAAAAAAACAGTGGTACATCTAAACAATGGAATACTACACTGCTGTAAAAAAAAGAAAGAAAGAATGCTTGCCATGAACAACAGTATGGATGGATCTGGATAGCATTATGCTAAGCAAAATAAGCCAGTCGGAGAAAGATAAGTATCACATGATCTCACTTGTTTGTGGAATAAAATGAACAACATAAACTGATGAACAAAAATAGACACATAGAAGCATCGAACAGACCATCAAACTTCAGAGGGAAAGCATGGGAAGGTGGAAGGGGGTCAAAAGAAGAGATCAACTAGAAGACTTGTATGGATGCATATAAGCGTAACTAATGGACACAGACAATAGGGAGGTGAGGGCCTGTGCTGGGCAGTGGGAGGGGCTAGCAGAGGTCACTAGGTGGGAAAAGAGACATATGTAATACTTTCAACAATAAACAACTTAAAAAAATACCTGTCTAACCAGCTGCTACCCTAAGCACAGGATAATATTAAAGGAATTTGAAAAGTAGTCACAGAAACAACAAAACCTACGCCGCTCAACACGAGTAAATTTTTAGAAAGAAGCAAATGAAAATACTAGAAATGAAGATGCATCCTTTTAATTATATCAATTAGTAGACTCAATACAACTGAGAAATTATTAAACCTTCAATTGAATTTACCCAAAATTAATCAGGCTATGTGCCAATAATCTTTAGGCATATTCAACTACATTTTCCCCTCAATATACTGGGGAAATTTTTATAAAAATATATAATAATATGAATAAGCTTAATACTATGCTTGGCAAAAAGTAGGCACTCATAAAGTTTACTGAAGGAATTACTGCTATTTGTCAATGAATAAATTTAGTCATTAATGAGAAAAGAGAGATAAAATGGGAAATCACTTACTATAATCTATGCTAAATTGAGCAACTCCAGAACCAGGATAATAGGAACCTTTCTCCACAGAGATAAAACAATGCTTATTTTGTCTTTCTTGAACGATTTCATCTACTTTTGCAGTTCCTTGATTCATCAAATTCCAGCCTCTCATACATCCATCTAGACGAGGATTAATCTAACAAAATAGAATATACGTCAAGGAGTGAATTTTTAACTTGTAAGTCAGACTGATAGTGGCTTAACTGATTATAGAAATAGGTTTTCAGTTAGACGGAAAACCTTTTCTTTGATGTCATTTAAAAAATATTTTAATATTCTGAATTTATCTAAAATTTTCTTTTCAAAGTGTCCTTCAGAAGGATAGTCTTTTCCAGGTAAAGTGAGTTATGCTATCACAGACCTCCATTAAAATCCTAATAATTTTTAAGACTTCAAGCCCTACATGCCTCTTCTGTCATTCAGGGGTAACTTTCCTGCTCTCAAGTTCCATATATGTTTCTAGTTGTGGCCCTGGTCTCTATACTGCTTTCTATTTTTCTCTAATTGCATTTACCACACAGACTTGTCTTGCCATCAGACTCAAGCATTGGCAAGACAGACCTGTGTGGTAAATACAATTAGAGGACCTCAAGTGTTTCCATTCTTTAGCCTCATCATGGCACCCAGTCAGACTGAAGATATGTGGTGGCTATGTCATAAATAGTTGATTCTTTTTGAATAGTTTACTTTATTGTTAAAGTGTCTGGATTTATCAGTTTCAAAGAACAGGTATATTCACTCTGACATGGGTTAACTAATTCAGGTTTTATATCATATTACAGAAATATTTTAAGTTAGGGTAACTGTGAATTGCCATGAGTAAAAGATACCGGTAGATATAAAATAGTAAATATTTAAGTTAGGTCCAATTGGCAGATCCATGAATACAGGTGAAATATTTAAAACTCTCCAAGAAAAATGACTAGTCTCCTTCATGAAACCTATTCCACAGTTACCAGAAAAACATCATGTTCAGAAAATCATCTGCTATATGTAACTTCAAGCTGCAGTCATACTCCCAGTAAAGATTTCTTAAATAAAAAAAGTTCCACCTTATATGCCCATCTTATCTCCCAAATTTAAGACCTAAGAAAGCTCTTTAACTGACTATAAAATAATGTATTTTGGGATTCAAATATATGAATAGCTATTATGTTTAATGGCTAAATATGTACAATTATGATGTTAGCCCTGAATTGAAGCTTAAGAATTTAAAATTTTCTATTTCACTGCAAGCAAGTATAGGAAAAGGTGGTTCTGCTTCCCTAAGTGGAAGACAAGCTTATCAACTATGTGAAGCATTGCTTCCAGTGACTGACCAGGAGGCCTTTCCAGATCTCTGATAGTAGAGGAAGTGTCTTTTAGAAAATATTTCAGCCCTAACCAGTTTGGCTCAGTGGATAGAGCATCAGCCTGTGGACCAAAGGGTCCCAGATTCAGTCCTGGTCAAGAGCATGTACCTTGGTTGCAGGTTTCTCCCTGGCTGGGGCCCTAGTCAGGCCTCAAGCAGGAGAGGCAACCAATTGATGTGTTTCTCTCATATCGATATTTCTCTCTGTCTTCCACTCTCTCTAAAACTTCAATGGAAGAATATCCTCAGATGAAGATTAAAAAAAAAGTAAAAAAGAAAGAAAATAGTTCAGTTTGTTTATAATGTTCACCTTATTTTATTTTTGTAGCAGTTGATACATGGCTTTCCTTTTTATAATGCATAGTGAGAACTTTCCCTACTATTTGTAACAAATGTTTTCCAAGTTCTGGTGCCGAAATAAAAATAAAAAATAATAAAAATTGCTTGAGGTTAAATGGGCTCAAAAACACTACACTCATTTTTCTGTTTCCTTAATGTAACTTCAAGGGCCACTAATATTATTTTTCCATGTTCAAGTTGTTAGTTGGTATGTTCAATAAAATAACTTCATTTGACTTTTGTAATATCTTCAAATATATTACAGACAAAAGGAACTCATCCATGATGAATGAATTAAAAAAGCTTGGATCATTACCGGCTTAATGAGTGTATTCTTCAGTGTCCGAGGTAAGCCTGCAAAGTATACTTTGGTTTCTACAAATCCAACTGTAGACTTAAAAAGTCTCTCTGGCTTATTTATATTTATTATGGCTTCTCTAGCTATTTTCACACTAATACTCTGTTCCAATTCTTCCACGGAGACCTACAATTCAAAAGACAGAGATTATCAAACAACCAAATATCCTTGCATGTCATAGTAAATACTAATTTTGAATAATCCTGTTAATATTCCAGTAAACAATTTTCCAAAGTCATCATTTTAATGTAATTATTAATTTTTCCCAATATATTTGAAATGCCAACTGATTATAAAGGTGATAAAAATGTGTTTTAAAGGAATAGTACTTGATTGAAAATTAAATGACTGTATTTTAAAGTTCAAAAAAATCAATATTATTCTGTTAAATTTAAACATCCAATTAAAATAGGTGTCCTTCAAGCCAATATGCCATAAAATGCATAGTTTTTAAAAAGTGAGTTACTCTAGAAAATCTTGGAATATGTTTAAGTGTTCTTAAATATATGTGTATTTTATTGTATAATAATATACATAGAATAAATAAGTAAATTATTCATATAAATTAAGAGAAATCAGTACATCCAGAATTCTGGTTATTACACACAAATAATATTTATTTCAAAATTCCAAAGTAATTTAGGTCATTAGGAAGCACAATACATAAAATTTTATCATTTTCCAATTTTGAAAGTAGTGTGGGTTCTAAAATAAAGGTTAGTAGTGATGGTAAACAACAATTAAGAAATCCTTTGAAGGCAAACTAAAGAACCATGTTGCAATCTCAATTAAAACTATATCACTCAACATGCAAATTTTTCATTTACTAATTATTAATGGAGGCCAAATAATAGGCATATTAAAACACCACTATAGGAAGAGAAAAACCATTCCCTAAAGTAAAATAAATTTGGTAACATGTACAGATTTAGGCAGTGTATACTCTCTACTTAATGTAGTTAATCATGTCCCTTTGCCCTAATGACTATTCCCTCTTTGAAAGACATTCCCTAAAAAAAAGAAAAGAAGATGTTCCTAATAGCCTTCAGAACAGTAGTCTGGCTTGGTCCTCCTACCTTCTTATGATTCCTTCTCAGTCTCCTTGCTAGATCCTCCTCTTCTTCTCAATCTCTATAAGCCCCAGACCTTTTTCCTTTAGCCGTGCAACTATTTCTAAATGGGAACTCTATGCTCCACTCTAGGGCATTTGGAAAATGTAGGGTGGGGGAAACTTTTAGTTGTCACAATGAGTACGAAGTATGCTGACATTGCAATATGCAGGATAGCTGTGCAGAATAAATAATTAAAAAGTCCAATATCCTGCAAACCCTGAGTATCCATACTGGATATTTATGTAGCATATTTATGCTTCTAACTATTTGAGTTTGTGTATATATCAACACAAAATATGCATTGTACTATTTTAGCATTTACTGATTTTTTCAAGAATGTAAGTCTTGCAAACCAAAGATAGGTTGTTTGTTTTGTCTGGCTCTTTGCCAAGAGTTTTAACCATTTTAGAAAATTACTATTACTGATGGCAATGCCATTTATTCAGTTATGGTATTTGAGTTGTCAATACAATATCCAGCATAAATCTTCATTTGTAGCTTCCACATTATTCTATGTTTAAGAACAAGATTTAACAAGAATTATACTTGTACTTGAACATTTACATATTAAAATACATATTCTTATAAATTGCTTTCCTTCATGTATATAATAATTGAAGCATTCTATTGGTTTCTATTAGGGATATTGATGCATTTCATTATAGGACAGTAAAAGAACATCATAATATTTGGGCAATGCATGAGAGAGTTTAGAACCGCAGGTTGATATACTAAATTTCATGGCCTTTAAACCTCTCGTTATGTTAAATATTTGAAAGTTTATACGTACCTTGAAGGTTTGACCTTTAATATATATCCAGAATCAAATTACTTTTCACCACTCACACCAACAATCCAGCCAAAATTGCTATCTTCTCTACTGCAGGTTATTGCAATGGTCTCCTGGCCCCATGTCCTATTCTACCATTATTCTCTACTATCTAGTTTCTATAAAGCCATGAGGTACTAATCAAGATTATCTTTAAAAATGCAAATTAGATTATGTCAGGTCTCAAAATCATCCAATATCTTTCTACTTAGCTAAAGTCCAAATCCTCAGTATATTCTCCAACCATAAATGATGTTATTCCAGATCATATTTCGAACCTCATTTTTCTACATTCTGTCTTTCTGTCTCACTCCACTGCATCTACACTGACCTTTGTGTTATTCCTCAGACACATCCTCTTGCCTAAGACTCTGCAGTTGTGGTTCAGATGGCACAGGATAATCTTTCCCCATATATTTCTCATGACTTATTCCTCAAATATTTGGTCAGATGTAATCTCATCGGAGGTAGCCTTCCTGATTCCTGATTTTCACATTCACCATCATCATTCTGTATTGCCTGGCCTTCTCTTTTTTCCTATAGCATTCATTATATCTGATATATCTATTTATTTGTGTATTTGTGGTTTTCATCTCACCACTACTAGAATGAAAGCTCCATAAGAGCAGTGACTTTATTTTATTCACTGTTGTATCCTCATCACCTAGAAGGAATAGCACATAAAGTGCAAAAAATATTTTGCTGAATGAATAAAATTATTATATAAGTTCTAGATTTCCAACCAATATTAGGATTAAACCCAAATATGAGATATAATAATCATTCTAAACAATCAATATTTATTTAATTGGGTTATAGTCATTCTAAGTACTTAATAATTACATATTCTATTCAATTTAGCTAAATTATAAACAATTGTCATGCATTTTAATTTTGATTTCTTATTTTTAAAATATCTTATTTAATTTTTTTAAATATTTTAAAATTAGTGAAACAGTTGTTATATAGTAAATACTATACTATTCTAAAATATTTATTTCAAGTAATTTCTGTGCTGAGTAAATTTGTTAAGCAAAATAATTTATTAATAAACCATCAAAATATAAGCTGGTAAAAACTCATGGTAATTTTTTTTTAGAACAAAAGATATAGAGTGAGAAAACAATCCTACTTATATGGTGGGGAGGAATTCATAAATTGTTAAAATATTAAATTAAGAATTTAAGAAAAACTACCAACACTAAATTTATTGCCGATTGAAGTTTTTCTTGTTTAGAGTTCTTACATTTTATTTTTATATAAAATTGCATTACATTTATAAAGAAAGAATTTAATTAAAATGTTTTAATTGAAACATGGATATATATTAAATACTTTCTTTTAAAGAAGGATCATAAACATAGGAGACAAAAGGCATTAAACCAAATTACTGCCTTCCATCCAACCCTTAATCTTGCCTTCAACAGTATGATCCATTGACAATTTTTTGTTTGTTTTTAAATATTTCCCTTCTGTTCTCTTGATTCTTTTATTAAATTTATGGGTTGACATTTTTAATAGGATCATGTAGGTTTCGGGTGTAGATTTCTATGAATAAGATTTGACCAAAGTCAAATCTTCTTCTGTCACCATATATTAGGTCCCCTTTTTAAATAAAATTAAAAAAAATAAATACAATCTACAACTCATGTTGTTAATCTCACTGGTAAATATTTACCTTCTTCCGTATTCATAATATATTCTACTTAGATATTTATCAAAATTCTCCTCCAAACAGTTATTTTCTATTTGTATAAACTCATTGGGGGGTAAAATGTTTTTCCTCTTGCTGAAAGTGATTTTAGTGATTTGAGATGTGATTTTGGGACATTAGACAGTAAAATATATCCTTTAGCTATATTCATAAGCTGCTCTTGATACAGAGGTAATAGGAGAGACATAGTAGCAAAGCATCTAATGAGAACATACGAAGCCAGAGAATTTTAGTGATTTTTCTGACAGTTGCAGACAGTATTCTTTTAGAGATATGAGTCCAAAAATCGATGGCCGCCAAAGGACAGAAAACCCTTCTTTGGTGAACCACATCTGTGCTCAACTGACTTTATCACTCCTCCTACTGTAACATATTTCACGTCACATTTCACTAGTCCATAAACTCACACAGATGTGGACAACTAATTCATAAGGCAACATCAGCTACTAAATTGTAAAGTGCTAAGCTCAAAGGTAATTAAGACCAGTTCTTAGGAACTTAGCACCTTGAAAGTGCTCACTATCAGTTTACTGAACATACGAATGCATGGGTGGGTAAATAAAGGAATGAAATAATTTAGTGATGAGTTCACATGGCATCACCCCATAAACTTCTCATCAGCTCCCACAGGCATAGAAAGTTTTTCTTTGGGGTACCACATTCTAAGTGAAGCTGATCTTAGCTATCTTCTCCAGGAAGTAATGATCGATTTTATTGCAGAAAAGAATTCTCCCCAATAGACTAGCAGTAATCCTTCTCAAAGAAAATCTCTATAATCCAGTTGATTAAAATGTTGTTATTATTAAAATGAAGGCTCATGATTAGGGATTATCTAAAAATGCTAGTTTCTAGGCACCTTGATTGCTACCAGCTAATGTAAACTGTACAAATTGATTATCTACATGCCAATATTTAAAATTGAAGTAACTTTGATTTTGTTCCTATGTGTAATTCTTTACATTAAAAAAAAATTGTTGGTTATCCAGTATACCTGTCCTTGATTAATGATGTCTTTACATAAAATAGTTTGCCAGCTAATAACCTCTGACCTATTCACGCAGTGACAGATATTAAAAGGGGTTAGAAGCTAAAGACAGATGAGATTGGGTAAATAACTGGAAACAATTTCAGTTATGAGAAATCTTAAACATATTAAGTGAGGTTATCCTTCCTCGGACCCTTTCATGGATTTGTAGTACTTAGAATATACTTCATATAGCATTAGATTAAAACCAAATCCACTTAGATTTGGTACCACTAAACCTAATAAAATAAATTATTAATGAGTTTATACAAACTGTGTCAAAGTGGACAGATTTTTTATGAAATCTTCACAACATACCATATGCCATAGACCATTATTAATAACTTGGCCTCCAGTTGTGATTTGTGTTGTATGTTCATTCTTAAACTGAATTTCAAGCTTTCCACCACGAAGTGCAATCAGGAGCCAAGCTGAGTGGTCAAGAGCTTCTGTATACAGGATAACACCTTCGGAATCATATGTCCGGAAATCGAATGTGGCTGAAAATCTAAACAATGAACAAAGAGAGAGCCTTAACAGTGAGAACATGGAAGGCTCTATGTATATTCTTTTTTTCTTGTACTGGCAAAAAGCAATATGTTGAGTCAACTATTTCCATGCCTGGAATTAATAAAAGAGAAGGGCAGAATTAGACTATTAGTGTATTATCTCTGGCTCCATGTGTGTTTAAAATCAAGTTATTGAATTTTCGTGCTTATATTGGAGTCTTTTTTCCCAGAGAACAGATACTTTAGTAATTTTTAATCTTTTTTTGGCATTTGGTTTGGAGGCACTCTTTCAGATGTTGGAATTAAGGCACATGTACAAATATTAAACATATTGAATCTCTTCTGGAACCTTTCACACACTACATAATCTGATTAAGATTCTTTTATTACTGTATCTGTCCATGGTTAGTAAAAGATATTACAATTTCATGATTGGATTAGCCATCAAAAAGCATATTCTCCCTATGATTTCATATATGTCAGGAAGGAATCACTCAGCATCTAGATAATTGCAAACGTAGTTAAGCTTTCATGTGTGGTAGAAAAGGTAAAGTCAAAAGCTTTAAAATGTATCTATTAGCGTGATTTCAAAACATCTCCCAAACTCTAATAGCATAAATCACTATACTAGATTACATAGAAAAAGAGTTTAAAAGATATAATCTAATATTAGCAAACTAAATACAACAATATATTGAAAGGATCATATAGCATGATCAAGTATAATTTATTTCAGGGATGTAAGGATGATCCAACATCCATAAATCAATCAATGTGATATACCATATTAACAAAATGAAGAATAAAATCATATATCATCCCAATAGAAACAAAAAATATTTGATAAAATTCAATATCCATTTATAGTAAAAACTCAACAATTTGGATATAGAGAAAACATAGCTCAACATAATAAAAGCCATACCAACAGCTAATAACAATACTCAATGGAGAAAAGTGAAAGGTTTCACTCTAAAGAAGAAACAAGACAAGGATTTTCAATCTTGCCACTTTTATTAGGCTAGAGAAAGAAATAAAAGGCATCTATGTCAAAAAGGAAGAATTAAAACTCACTATTTCACAAATGGTCTATGTATAGAAAACCCCACAGATTCCACCAAAAAACTGTTAGAACTAATAAATATGCAACAAAGCTGCAGGACACAAAATTAATGTACAGAAATCTGTGGAGTTTCTGTATACTAATAACAGACTATCCAGACTATTAGTAAGAGAAATTTAGAAATAATCCCATTTACAATGTTATCAAAAAGACTAAAATACATGTACTCAGAATTAATTTACCAAGGAGGTAAAATACCTATACTCTGAAAAGTATAAAACATTGATAAAAGAAACTGAAGAAGACACAAATAAATAGAAAAACATTTTGTGCTGATTGTTTGGAAGAATTATTATTGTTAAAATATCCCTACTACCCAAAACAATCTACTGATTCAGTGAAATCCCTATTAAAATTACAGTGACTCTGCCCTCCAGCAACGGGGCCCTCTCTCCCCAGGCAGGAGAGTTTGGCTCTCCCTCTCAGCTTCCTTCCTCCTTACCACTCAACTGTTCTCATCTCTCACTGGGGCTGGTTTTGTTTTCTTTCCTCTTTTTCCATCCATCTCTGTCTCTCGGTGTCTCCCTGTGTATCTCTGTCTAAACCTCTGCCCAGTGTGTGCTGCATTTCTCTGTCTCTCAATCTCTGTTCTCTCTCAATCTCTATTCTCTGTCTCTCTCTCTCTCTCTCTCTCTCTCTCTCTCTCTCTCTCTCTCTCTCTCTCTCTCTCTCTCTCTCTCTCTCTCTCTCTCTCTCTCTCTCTCTCTCTCTCTCTCTCTCTCTCTCTCTCTCTCTCTCCCCTATTCTCCCTTCTCAGTCTCTCTACCTTCTCTGTTTTTCTGTCCTAGAGTCATTCTCCCTCTCTCCTGGCTCCCTCCGCTTTCTCCCACTGGAACTCTATCTCTCCCTCTTTCAGAACTTCCTCTTCTCCATTTCTATCTGTCCTCCTTCTCTCCCTCTCCACCTTCCTGGTCCACAGCCCACCCACTTCCATTACACAGAATCTTTCCTCTTTTAGCCCCTTTTGAAGGGTCCTGTCCAGTTCTTAGGTTCCCCCATGATCATCTGAGCAGGGGGAACCACCCATTCAGTCCCCATGAGCTGTCTCCCCAAATCCTAGCCATATGTAAAAAAAAAAAAAAAAAAAAAAAATCCCAAAGCCATTTTTCACTGAGGTAGAATAATAATTTTAAAATTTGTATGGAACTACAGAACTTCCCCAATAGCTAAATCAAGCTTGAAAAAGAATTAAGTTGGAGGTATCACCATACTTCCTGATTTCAAACTATACTCCAAAGTTATAGTAATCAGAATGGTATGATACTGGCATAAATATCGACAAATCAATGGAACAGAACTGAGAGTCCAGAAATAATCCCACACATTTATGAATAACTAATTCATGACAAAGAAGTAAAAAACATACAATGGAGAAAGGACAGACTTCTATAAGTAGTGCGGGGAAAATGAGACAACCCCCTGCAAAACATGAAACTAGACCACTATCTCACACCATACACAGAAATTAAATCAAAATGGATTAAAGACCTAAAACCATAAAATACACAGAAGAAATTAAGTAGATAAGCTTCTTGACATGTGTCTTAGCAATGTTTTTGTGAATTGACTCTAAAGGAAGAGAAAACAAACAGAAGCTCAAATAAACAAATGGGACCAGATCAAACTAAAAAACTTACACAAAGCAAACGAAACCATCATAAAAATGAAAATGCAACCTATTGAACTAGAAAAGATATTTGCAAACTATACATCCAAGGAGGGAATAATATGTAAAATATGTAAAGAACTCACAAAACTCAACAACCACAAAAATCAACAGACTTTTACAAATGGGCAGAAAATCTGAATATGCATCTTCTAAAAACATACTGATAGCCAACAGGCATATAAAAAGATGTTCAGCTTCACTAATTATTATAAAAATGCAAATCAAAACCACAATGAGATATCAACTCATACCTGTTAGAATGCCTATTATCAAAAAGATAAGAAACAACAAATGTTGAAGATGTGGAGAAAGAGAACCCTCATACATTGTTGGTAGGAATGTAAATTAGCACACAATTATGGAAAACAGTATAAAGATTCCTGAAAATTTTAAGAATAGAATCACCATATGATCCAGCAATTCCATTGCTGTGTATTTATCCAAAAAATACAAAACAATAATTTGAAAAGATAAATGCACCCCTATGTTCACTGAAGCATTATTTACAGTAGCTAAGATATAAAAAAACAAAACAACCTAAGTGTGTGATGGATGAATGGATAAAGAAAATATGGTACACACACACAATGGACTACTACCCAATAGTAAAAAGAATTAAATCTTGCCATTTGAGACTAAATAAATGGAGTGAAGTAAATCAGATGGATAAAGACTAATACTGCATAATTTCACTCATATGGGGAATCTAAGACAAACAAACGACAACAAAAACAAGCCAAAATGAAAACAAACTCAAACATATAAGTAAGGACAGATTTGTGGTACCAGAAGGGAATGGGGTGATGAGTGAGTAAGAAGTCTGCAGGGGTCAATTTTATGGTAAAAGACAATAACTGGAGTTTTTGTGGTGATCACTTTGTAATATATACAAATATCAAATTATAATGTTGTATGCCTGACACATATAATATCATATATCAATATTATCTTCAAAGAAACAGATAAAGTGTAGCCATGTGTTCTGGGGTATCGGCACTTTGACAATGCCTATTAAGACTCTGGACATATATGTAGCTACTATGAAGGAGGAAAAATATTAAGTATACCATATTTTAAAATAACACATATTGATGCAGTACCCATAGGACACTTTCTAATGAGAATCAGCAATAAAATTTCCAAGGGCCACGCAATCAAAATGACTGAAAAAAGACAAAAGGGAATAGAAAAGTACTTATATAATGATTAGTTAAAGATAATTTAACTTAAAAAGTTAGGATTTCAAATAATTGCTAAATAAAGCAAGGAATACACAACTTATCCCCACATATAGCAGTAATAACAACACAGGCACCATTAGCAATAGGGCACAGATCTACCTCAAATGGAACAAAGAAAAGGGATTAGGAAATATTCTAAAGAGGTAAATGTGAAGTAAAGTGTGTTGAATGGAAAGCATGTAATAGAAATTCACTGAACCCAAATTATTTTATAAGAAAAAAAATTTTGCTTAGAATAAGTGTTTTCATTCTTTTTCACACTCATCACATCTTGCTGATGCAAAGCATGTGTTATCTTGCCAAAACCTTAATCTATGTATGCTCAGAATTTTACATTACTTGATCCTATTATGGAGATCATTTCTGTATCTTTGTAAAATCATGCTAAACCAGTAATTTTGAGTCCTGTTTTGTTTTTCGGTTTTTTTTTTGTTCTGTATGTTTTCTTTCTGAAATACATCAACATGTTGATTCATATTGGGGAACAATTCATTCTTTATCAAAAGTATAGTAGAGTAAAAAAAATAGTGAAACTGTACTTTTGGATAGAGTATCTGATTACAGAAAACAATGGAGGGGATTTGCAAAAAAAATAAAGTAATAAAATGCTAGCTTATTCTTCATGTTGGTTACACAGGTGAGGTTCATAAAATTCATCAAGCTGTACATTTAAACATGTACATTTCTGTATATATTATATCTCAATAAAAAGCCAAACTAAGTAACTAATTAAAAAATAATACCAGTAAAATAATTATTTGGTCAGTTTGATCCACTGTTAGAGCCCAAGCTATTATGAATTGTCTCTGAGAAAAGAATACCCCTGAATATGCCTGAAAATATGCAAACATTATTTTTTTCTCTGTCATTCTCATTATTTGCATAACAAGGAATACTGTATTATTTGCTTTGCGATATTAAAAGGGAAAACCAGGTCATAGTTTAAAACGAGTGTTGAAGGAGCACAATTACATCAGGGAATCTTAGAATAAATTTCAATGATTCTTAACACAAGATTTCTATAAATTTATATTTAAGGAATAATTACTCATATATTGTGAATTAAATTTCAGGCCACCATGCTTATTTAACAAAAATATTTTAAAATTTGGACTCCATAACCAGTCTCAAACATGTTTTCTTTACATTATTCCAACAAAACTCCAATTTCTTTTTTTCAATGAGTGTATGACTCTAGGACACAGCACCAGCACCAGCCTGCCTTGCTTCACAGCTGGGCCTCACCTGGGCACTTCCAAACCTGATACAAAGAGGAGGATCTGCAGATCTGCAGATCTCTCTGTAGCTCCTGTTGGGTGGCCCCAGGCAGTGGCTGACTTTGCACCTCCCTGCAGACCCAAGACACAATGCACCCAGTGGACAGCTTCAGACCACACCAGGTTACAACTCTACACATCCACAAGTGACACACTCACGGGACAGATTCAATGAGCTCCAAAGCCCCACAGAAGCAAGTCCTGCTCCAAAGGGGTGTTTCCTATAGCAGCTCTTCTGCTGTAGCTGTGGCTAGTCCTCATAGCCAATTGGCCTGCAGGTCAATTTCTCCCAGTGAAGCTAAAAGCAAACAAGTCTCAACTACAACAAGACTGTGCACACAGTACACAAAGGGGTACAACTAGAGGGCTCACTTCAGATGACTGGGAAGGCTGGGCCACTGAGACTTATATGACATCTACTACACAAAGCCACTCTACCAACTCCAGGAGAAATAGCAGTTCTACCCAAGACATTGAAACAAACACAGGGAAACAGCTGAAATGCGGAGACAAAGGAACATGTCACAAATGGAAGAAAGCAAACTACTAAATACAGAGTTCAAAACCTTGGTAATAAGGTTACTCAAGGATTTTCATGAGACCTTCAAGGGAATTAGTGAGACTTTCAAGGATCTTAATGAGAAGCCAAAACATGAAAAGGGACCATTCAAAAATTAAGCATACACTAACTAAAATAGAGAATAATTAACAGGGATTCAATAGTAGAGTAGAGAATCAAATCAATGATTTGAAATATAAAAGGGGAAAAACACCCAACCAGAAGAGCAAAAAAGAAAAAAGAATCCAAAAGTATGAAGAGAGTATAAAGGGCCTCTGAGACAACTTCAAGTGTACCAACATTAAAATTATGAGGGTGTCAGAACACGAAGGGAGAGAGCAATACATTAAAAACCTATTTGAAAAAAAATAATGACAAAACTTTCCCTACCTGGTGAAAAAACAGACTTACAAGTCCAGGAAGCACAGAAAGTACAAAACAAGAGGAATTCAAAGAGGCCCACATTAAGACACATCATAAGTAAAATGTCGAAGGCTAAAGACAAAAAGAGAGTCTTAAAAGTTAGTTACCTACAAGAAAGTGCTGATAGAAGAGTCAGCTGATTTCTCATCAGAAACTTTGCAGGCCAGAAAGGAGTGGCAAGAAATATTCAAAGTGATGAATAGCAGGGACCTATAAGCAAGATCATTCTACTCAGCAAAGCTGTCATTTAGAATTGAAGGTGAGATAAAGATTTTCACAGACAAGAAAAAGCTACAGGAGCTCATCACCACCAAGTCAGTAGTACATGAAATGTTGAAGGGTATTCTTTGAGAAGAGGAAGAAGGAGAAAAAGATTAAAAAAAAAAAAAATCCACACAGACACCAGGGGGGTGAAGGCATGAGTGCAGGGGTGGGGAGCCAATAGGGGGATAAGGACACATATGTAATACCTCAATCAATAAAGAAAAGAAATCCTATATAATAAAAGCAAAATATGCTAATTAAACTGGACATCCTTCCAGAAGACCTTCTGGTTGAAGCGGGGCTGCGAGGGAAGCCTGGGTCCCGGGTGCCTGCTGCTGACCAGAGGGAAGCCCTGGTGCTGGTGTCTGCCAACAGCCAGAGGGAAGCCCAGGTTCCAGGTTCCTGCCGGTGGTTGGAGGGAAGCCCAGGTCCCGGGTGCAGGAGGGAAGTTGGTGCTGGTAACTGGGGGAAGGAAGGCCTACTCTTGCATGAATTTCATGCATTGTGCCCCTACTATGAACAATAAAATGACTATATATATATATATATATATATATATATATATATATATATCACCAATTTAATCTAAATATTCAAGTAAATTAACAAGGACTCTAATGAACAAAATAAACCGGTGAATAAAATAGAATCCAAGGCATGGGAATGGTACAGACTGAAGATGTTCAAAGGGAAAGGGTAGGGGATTTGGAAGATATTAAGCAAAGATCTTAAATGCATACTAGAGGAAATGCATGCACTGGGGAGGGGGAGGAAACCAATCAGCTGGTCCCCCTCAGCCCAGAGTGCACCCTCACCCATCTGGAATCCCTCTCATATTCTGAGACCACTGGCTCCTAACTGCTCACCTGCTTGATGGCCTGATCACCCCTCACTGCCTTCCCCTGGTGTCCTGGTTGACCCCAACTGCTACCTCTGCCAGCCTGCTCACCCCCAACTGCCTCCCTGCTGGCCTGTTAGCCCCCAACTTCCCCCCCTGCTGGTTTGCTCACTCTTCACAGCCCCCCTGCCAGCCTGGTTGCCCTCAAATGCTCCCCCCCCTCGCCAACTTGCTCACCCCTCACAATCCCCCTCTGCCAGCCTGCTCGCCCCTCACTGCCCCCCCTGCCGGCCTGGTAGCCCCATGCAGCTTGCTGTTTAATGGTTTGGTCACCCCTCACTAACCCCACTGATGGCCTGGTCGCCACATGCAGCCTGCTGCTCAGTCATTTGGTCGCCCCTCACTAACTCCCCTGCCAGCCTTGTCACCCCATGCAGCCTGCTGTTCAGTCATTACTGTGAGGGCATCCTGACCAATTTGCATATAAACCTTTTGTTAGTATAGATATGCATTAACTATGGTCACTCACCATAGGGTGGCAAAGGCCTGGGTGAGGCAAGAACTAGGGAGAAAGGGATAATGGGGGGGGGGGGGGGGAAGAGGGACATCTGTAATATTCTCAACAATAAAAATTTTTAAAAATTATTCTAGAAATATTATATTGGGAAGAATGCTTATAGTGAACTGGTATTTGGGGAAAAGTAGATTACAAAACCACATGTAAAGAATGACTTCAATGTTTGTCAAAAAATAAATATTGATATAGGTAAAAATAAATAAATAAATAAGAAAGAAGGATTACTAGGAAGGCCAGCCTAGAATGACCCAAATTGGTTCTAGCATGAAAAATACATGTGTGAAGGAGCAAATTAACTTTACAGTTCCCCAAGTCATCTGAATGATAATATACTTAAACTAGAGGCCCAATGCATAAAATTCATGCAAGGGGCTTGGCCCTCGCAGCCCCAGCTGTCTCAGCCTTCACAGCTCCGGCCACCCAGCCCTCACAGCTCTGGCTTGGTCTGGAAGGTCATCTAGACAGTTGTTCTACTGTTCAGTCTAATTAGCATACTAGCTCTTGATAATCTGATTTATAATGCAATTTCATACATTTCAAACTTTTTCAGTCCCTTCCTTCTGTTCCAACCCGCCTACCACTAGGAATTATCCACAGTGTTACCTCACCTGATGGAATCCGGTAAGCGAAATTTTAGATATAAAACAACCCCTACAAACTGCTCTGCCAAGTAAAGGAGTTCATAATTTTTCTCAAGGTTCAAGGGAAGGCACATTGGAACAACCTGGAGAAAAGAAAAGAAAACAAAACCCACAGTTAACTGGTTGATGTTTTTGTCAGATTATGCATCCTTTCTCTGATTCTCAGTGTTCTTGTCAAATATATCCTCGGTGATATACTAAAATGAAATAAAGACACCTTGGTAATAATAAAGCAATAACCTTTACTTCCTTGTCTAGTCTATCAGTGGAACCTCCAAAAATTTTCAATTTTTAAAATTTTGTTCAATGTGCATGGCTTTATATTTTTGTCTTTAATATTTCCTTTGTAAATTGCAGTCCAAAATACAAACTTTTTCCTCTAGTAGCAACAAAGTGACCCCTTATTTAACTGATACAGGTATCAGATCTTCCATGATTTATGTGTGAAAATAATCTTTATTTGAAGTCAGAAATAGGTAGGAAAGTTAACATACCAGTAAATAGGACCTCATTTAATCACTCATTCATTATTAAGCAAAAATTTTCTGTGCAAAAACTGCTATCTAGGTAACAAAGGGAATACTGAAAAACCTGGATGGAATAAATAGAAATGAGATTTAATTATAGTCTCCAAGGAAGCTACAAAACAGTGATTTAGAATCATTAAAACTGAAATCAAATACTTCTTTTCCCTAAAAATAAAAATAAACATTAAAATAGAAAGTCTTATAAATGGCTATTTTGGAAGGAATTATGTACATAGCACTATATTAAATCTAGGTCCAGAAATAACATTTAATTTCCTCTTAGAACTTTAATAAATCTATTCTGAGGTGGATGGTGATGTTTAACTACAATATTTAAATCATAAGAGACTAAGTTATAAAATAGACATTCACACAACATGGCATTTCAATTAAGTACTGTACTATCAAAGTTAGTACATAGGTCAACTATCTTACCTTATCTTCCTTTATCAAGTAGGTAGTATAACATTGAGTGTTACATTTTTGGGGTACTTAAGCTTTGTCTTGATGATAAAGGGTACATACGATTAAACCATTATTAAGGATTTTTGTCTCTTTACTGTTTACCTCATAATCATATAAATTTCACTTTCACTTGAAAAAAGTAAAGGAGATACAATAATTGGACTAAGGATCATTAATACATGATCCTTATTTAAAAATATATAGCTCCAGAGGTTGCACTATTCATTTCAATAAAGGAAAAACTAGAATCTACCCATAGATTCAATAACATTCAATTTCTGGGTCAATTATGTGTTAAATCTGAATAACTAAAAGCAAATTTAAGAGCTACAGAGTAACAAAATTAAACTCTCTGAATTTTTATATACATAAATCCCATTAAATCTTCTAGTCTGACATTTCCACCCTAGATTTTTTATTTATTTATTTATTTATTTATTTATTTATTTATTTATTTATTTATTTTTTATTAAATTATTATCTGTGTACATATTTTAACATTGCCCTCCCCTCCTATATATACCCTCCCTCCCCAGAATTTTGTGTCCATTGGATGTACTTGTATGCATGTATACAAGTCCTTAGGATAACTCTTGAAAGTATAATACTAACATGGCTAAGGCCTGATCAAAGTTGTTAGAATGGTGAATAAAGAAAAGTGGACACTGAGAAATGTTTTCACTAAAGTTTCTATGGAAGATTCTTTTTCTCACAAGGACCAGTATAAACCTCAGCTTTCCTTAACTTTCTTAAATAAGCATATATTCTGTAAATGTACATGCTGCACTCTCTGAACTGTGATCCTGTAGCTTTTATTTTTACCCAGCCACTAATTATTCCTAATTGTTTACAACTTTACATATCCATAATCAGTAAATAGATTGTGACGCATAGGCTAGATGGAACTACAGAAATTATGGTAGAACATCTGTATTTTCCTGACTTAGCTCAGCTCTGTGGAGATAAGCACCTGGATCTCTTCTTTTAGAAAAGAGATGGTAAGGTTAGCATTGCAAAACGTTACCTCACAACTCTTCTGATCTTGGGCAAGTTTGAATCCTTTCTTCCCATCACAGTAACAAGAATAACCTCCAGGATAATTGACACAAAGTTGAGCACAAATGTTCTCAGAGCATTCATCCACATCTAAAGCAAAAGAGAACATAAATCTTCACATCTCTTAAATGCTCAACCCAACAGAAGAAGTATTCTGATTTTAGTTTGTGATATCAATGACAATAATAAAAGAAATTTCTGACATCAAATTACATTTAAATACGTGAAAATTTAAGTGAGTCACAAGTTTAATTTCTTCTTATTTGCACACTGGAAACAACGAATTTAATATTTAAATTTTATTAGTTAATACTTAACAAAAATACAACAAGTATACTAACGTTCTGATTTTGAATCTGAAGGCAAAAAGAGTCTCAAGTTAGTTGACATTTCTGATTATATAATTCCATTGATACCATCTCCCTATTCTTTGCTTTGAAGAAAAAGTGGGGAATGTAGAGGAGAGAGGAGGATGGGAAGATAGGGATGAAAAGATCCCTTTTAATTGAAGGTCAATGTAATTGAAAAATAAATGATAATATCAAAAACATTTGACTTTTCATAATGCAATGATTAATAGTGGCAATAAATTTAAGGGCATCCCTTTATTTCTTAACTTATTTTTATTAAAAGCTCACTGTGCTATATTACCTCCCATATTATGAAATCTTGTATGCTGATCCCTGTCCCTACTCCATATTTTGAGAAAGTCATTCTTGAAAAGTTGTAACAATATGCTTCAGCTAAAGTCCACACTGAGATCCAGTGCTAATAAGATCCTGACTTTTTCATAAATGCTATTATAGCATAAATGGTTTAAAACAAAACCCCAATATTAGTGATCCCTCAATACCATTAAAATGTCATATGATTAAAGTAATACAATATTATATGTCATATAAATCTGTTATTTTGTTTTCAATTGTCATTCACATAATAAAACTGCAATATAGATCATGAAGTTAGCTAATTACCATCTTCAAATGACTATGGTTCACTGCAGTAATTTCTATCTGGAGTGGTAAGAAAATAGAAACGATATATGTGTGTTGGAATGGCGGGTATCTAAAGAAGTAAGGCCTCAAAATCTCAAGAGGAGTATATGTAGCTGAAAAAACCCTATTCTAAAATTATTATTGATTAGGGATATTTGTAGAGAGAGGAAGTATAAGATTGGCGGTTCAGGGATTGGGAGAGGGTTATAGAGTTCTCATTGGGATTCAAACGTATCTATTTTAGCACAGATAATGGCAATGGCTGCGTATCTGTGTAAAATGTAATTAATGCCACTGAATTGTACACTTAAAACCATTAAATGATCACATTGTATCTCAAATATAGTTTGTAAAAAATTGCTCTTCATTTAATTAGTTTCATTCATGGTATTAAATTCATTTTGAAACTTCAACAAATTTAAAGGAGGATGTGAGATAATTTGTATGCATCCGTAATTTAAAAAAAAGCAATCCACTAAAACGTTCAAGCTACCTGAGGCATACAGGGCAGCACTGCTGTGGCCAAAGCAGCAGCAAGTCCGAGGCTCTTCCACGGCACGGACCCTGCTGATCAGTACTCTCTCAGAACTTAGCTATCATTTGGTTATGATTAAGCTTTTTTCTCTCATATGCATTTAATTATAACAGAACTTTGTCATTTCTTATTTTACAATAAGTAAAACTTACACGCAGAAAATCATTGATAAGGTGGTATAGAATTGAAGGTTTCTAACCACCCTTGTTGTAAGAAAATCCCACATGATTTTTAAACTTGTCTCTTTTTTTGTATGTGTGTATTATTCCTTCCAGCTTGGAACTCTTTTTATCTTTGAATGTTATTTAAATGATGTGAGAATGTGTTTATTTTGCTTTTATCATTCATGGGAGGTCTCTAATCCATATTTAGCTCAGAGGGCCCAGTGGAGTACTAACACTAAGCCTAAAGACATGTGTCTTGCATATTTTGGCTTTGGAAGGAAGCCAGTGGTTATTCAATGGAACAAACTGAGATGTATTTGACCATCTTAGAAAATCTGATTGTTGATGTCAAACAGAACCAATGCTTCTAAATACCCAATGGGGGTTCAAGCCCACCCTCTCCACTATCAACAATGACATGACCACAACTCTACCTTCGCAGGACTTTGATGTGGGACTGTATCTGTAACCTTCAGCACATTCACATTCGAAGTCCCCTGGGGTGTTCTTGCACACAGCTGTGCCACAAATGCTTGGCTTCACAGAGCATTCATCCACATCTATAAATGAAACCAATATATTAAAAGGCATTTTTCCCATACCAAGCTAGCAAAGAACCCTTGATCTGTGTTTCCTGGATCTGGTTTAATATATGAAATAAGATAACAGAGTGGCCTGACAGTAACAAAATATTAAATCTGTCATCATATTTTACTTCACTAAATATTATATCTTTATGCAAGCGCAGAGAATTTGATTGATGTTTGCAATGTGTAGTAATGTAAATGAAAGACAGGGCTTTAGTTATTGTCTTATTTACCAGGCTACACTATGAAAATAAATGGGATAAAGGATTTACCTTAATCATTAAAAAAAACACACACACACATATTTTAAGTTGATTTTTAGAGAGAGAGGGAGAAGAAGATAAAGAGAGAAACATCAATGTGAGAGCAAAACATCGGCTGTTTCCTGCATGCCCCCTACTGGGGATTGAGCCTGCAACCCAGGCATGTGCCCTGACCAGGGATCAAACAAGCAACTTTTAACTGAATGGGATGGAACCCAACCAACTGAGCCACACCAGCAGGGCCACCATATTATTCATATGTATTTCTAAATACATGTTTCTGAAGTATGGTCTTAAAAGTATATACACTGTGTAGTATCTCAAATATAAAAAACAAATGTGAGATGGCTCATCAGTCTTATGTTTTTCCCTTGGAAAAATAATAAACTACATACCATTATTGTTTCCTAAAATATTCAAGAGTGACTCAAATTTAAAGTGAGATTGAGTAAGGTCTCAAAGTATTTATAAAGCTGCAGTTAATCCAGTACAAATTTTAATGCTACATTGATATTCCTGAAATTTCAGATGTGTTGATTACATTACATAGTAAAGTAGGAGACAAAGTATTGATTGCAATTAGTTATTAGAAAAGAACCTGTAAAAACAAAGAAAAAATGATATAAATAATTCAATGGAGATCTAATTATAAGTGAACTTTTCTCATTTGTTCTTTCTGAAGGCAAGTTTAGAGTGAAAAATATACTTTCTACTCTAAAAAGTTGGGAGTTGCCCTAGCTGCTTTGGCTCAGTGGATAAAGCATCGGCCTGTGGACTGAAGGGTCCCAGGTTCAATTCCAATTAAGGGCACATGCCCGGGTTGTGGGCTTGATCCCTGGGGGGAGGGAGGGCATGCAGAAGGCAGATGATCAATGGTTCTCTCTCATCATTGATGTTTCTCTCTCTCTCCTCTCCCTTTCTCTCTGAAATAAATAAAACTATTAAAAAAGAAAAAAAGAAAAAAAAAGAAAGCTGGGGGATGGTGGGGGTAAAGGGAAGAGATCAACTATAGGATTTGTGTGCATATGTGCTTAGCCAATGGCCATGGACAACAGAGGGGTGGGGGCATATGTAGGGAGGGGTTTGGGATGGGAATGGGGGGATAAGGACAATTATGTGAGACCATAATCAATAAAATAAATTTTTTTTAAAAAATAAAAAATCTGGGGGTTTAACTTTTCCACAAACTAATAACCAACATTTCAGACATTATTCTATTTTAAAAGACATGCATACTGGTCAGCATTGCTCAATGGTTAGAGCATTGGCCTGTGGACCAGAGAGTCACAGGTAGATTTCTGGCCAAGAGCATGTACCTGGGTTGCAGGTCTGGTCCCTACCCCCCTACTCTCTTACCCCATTATGGGAGTTAAGCAATGTTTCTCTCTCCTCTCTTACTCTTCCACTCTTTCTAACAATCAGGAAAAAAAATATCTTCACTTCTAAGGTGAGGATAAAATTAATAATAATAATAAAATGACACGCACAAAAATAATAATCAATCCCTGTGGTAAGGGAATTTCCCTGTATCTTGATTCTGTAAGTGTCAGTATCCTGGATGTGATAAGTACTATATTTTTGTAAAATGTTACAATTAGGGAAAACTGGGCAAAGGGTTCATGGGATCTCTTTTTATTGTTTCTTATAACAGCATGTGAATCTATATTACTGCAAAATAAAATATTTAATATTTTTAAAAGAAAGTAAAAACACATGCCTAAATTATTTGGTCTGAGAAATATTGCAAGGAATTATTTAAATTATATGAGTTCAGGTTATAGCTCATTGATTTTATGACTCTACACTGACATCTAATGACTGATGAAAAGTTTTATTCTTGAATTTTTTAAGACATTTCCTGGCAACTTGATCCAAGCATATCCATATGTTGACAAAGGCCTTGTTGTAATAGTTGTATACACATTCTTCTCAGAGTTCTGTGCTTTTTTAATTAGATATCATGGATAATTTGCTATGCAAATGAAGTACACAAGACCATATGTTCTGGTCTTTTTTATGAGTACTTTTTGTAGTAATTTACATGCACATGAGTACTTTTTGTGGTAATTTACATGCACATGTATAACTTCAGTATATAAGGAATAAATACCTTTTAATTAAAAATATGTCACAAACTCTTTAGAAGAACAGACTAAGTTTTTTAATATAGTAGTATGAATGGGCACTATTTGTTTATGGCATGCAAATGGTATCTTGCATTATGATGGTTTTCTATAACTGATGTTCTAATGATATTAGTATTCTAAATGTTTAACCTCAAATAGACTTTCATATAGGCAAACAAGAAAGATATATGATTAAAAACTAGACATATGTTTAGAAGAAATTGTTAGTTCATATACTTCACTTGAGTTATCGAACTGCACTTTAAATAATATTATAGTAAACTATAATCCACCGAACACTACAGTGCTTTGAGGGGCAGACCTTTCCTTGACTATGAATTCAATTTGGTATATTCATCAAAGCAGATATGAATGGAGAAAACTTATGTGCTCTTAGATGTATAATAAAGTAAGTCAGTTCTTCACTTTCCCCAAATTTCTAATAGGAAATGAGGTGCAAGATGAAGGGTTTATACTAGAAATTAGAGAGATATTTTTGACAAGGAAACATAAAATACAACAAAAAAGTTACTAAAGATTGCATTAGATTTTTTCCTATAGTTGTTTATCGCATTGGAATAAAGGAAGTAATATAGTCTGAAAAATATAGCATAAACAATTTTGCAAGCTACTGTAGTGTACAAGGAATTGCATGAAATTTCACTTTATCACCATATAATAAAATTGTTTTATTTTTTTAATCCTCATTTGAAGATATGTTTTATTTGAGAGGGAGAAAGAGAGAAGGAGAGAGAGAGAGAGAGAGACAGAGAGAGAGAGAGAGAGAGAGAGAGAGCGCAAGCGCAAGCGCAACAAGGATCAATTGTTTCTCATACATGCCCTGATAGGAGATCGAACCTGAAATCATTCGATGTACAGGACAATGCTCCAACCAACTGAACCACCTTACCAGGGTATAATAAATTATTTTTAAAATGTGATCCCGTGTGTGCACACATACATATGCAATAATAAAATATTCTGTAAATATAAAATACAATAAATGTCCTATAAAAATTAAAAGGCAGTCCCATAATATCAGAAGACTTCAAAGTGCATAGTAATGTATATTTACTATAACAGCTTATAACCAGAGAGTTTTCCAAGAATTTTTTGGGGAAATTTCTCTAATTGAATTTTGCTCTCACATGGTAAATATCTTCTATTCTACCTTCTTGTTCTTACCTTTGCAGTTCTTTTTATTTGAAAGTAGAACAAAACCACTTTTACAAGAACATTGGTAACTTCCAGGTGTGTTATCACAAATCTGACTGCAACCTCCATTTATGTTTGAGGGATTTTTGCATTCATTTATATCTAAAAACCAGAAAATAAATTATTTTTAAAGTGATAAATCTTTCAGAAAATTTCTCAGGGGGTTGACCCAGATAAGGCAAATGGGTACTTTACACATACCGTATTGACACTTATCTCCTTGCCAACCTGGTTTACATGTGCAAGTGAATGAAGCCAGGCCATCTTTGCAGCTCAGATATCCATCTTCATTGCATGGCAGAGGGTTGCACTGGTCTGGAATGGCTAAAGGAAGTAGACATCTAGTTAGTGTTTATCACATGTAATAGTTAATAAAATGATATACCTTTTGATAGAAATCTGGGCATGAAGCCTATAATAAACAAACAAAAAATTATAAATCCTTCTTTCAAATAATACTTTTTCATAAAATAGTGAGTCCATAAGAAAAACTTTTTATTTTGCAAAAGGAAATTACTATTTATAAATATATACAGTATTTTATTACTGTAATTTAGATATTTTTTCATATATATTACCATACTTGACCATTAAAACAGTTCCATGAGATATACAGAACACATAACACTACTCTCAATATTAATAGAAAATAAAATTGGGGACTTCCAAATTGGGCTAAAATGGAGTAACAGAGACCAGATTTATCCTCCTGCCTTAAATAAATAGAACTGTGGTCTAAATACATGAAATAATGGTTTTCAGGCATTTAAAAAAAAAAAAAGGTAGCAGAGTACTGTGATCCTTAGGGGAAAAAATTTTCTTCATAAAATGTCTTTATCACCATCTTAAATGACATTCCCATTTGTTTCTTTAGTCATTTGTGGTTTCTCTCTCCTCGAGGGACATTGCAGAGTCCCTAGGTTCCTACACATTTCTACGCCTGCTTATCCAGCCTTCCTACTCAACTCTGTGAGTTCCTTCCATAATTCCCAAACAGTCCCCTCTGCTTAGGTTAGCTAGAGGAAATTTCTGTTTCTTGCAAAGAAAAACATTTTAAACCTAGCTGAAACTTAATTACCACATTTTGTAAACGTCCTTATAATTTCATCAAGTGGTTTTTTTAAATAGTAATAAATTAGGAATTAAATAGAAAGACCAATCAGAAATTGTTATCAAATTACTTTCCTGTCCGTTAATAAATTAAAAAAGAGATAAAGTGGGAATTAAATATGTGTTCAAATAGTTTTATAATTATGTAATTATAACTAACTTTATATTAAAGAAAATGCAAGTAAATATCTAGATATTGCCAATGCTGCATATAAAATATTCACTGGACAAATATTCCAATCTTGCATTTTCAACTTCTTGCAATTTCACCTTTTTCTCTCTGACTCTCAGGAAACTGGTAAATCAGAGACAGATTATGTACCAGAACTATCACTGGTCTCTATGTGAACATCAGAGGAAGAGGGCTAATTTGAGACCATAACATTTCCAACATTTATGTTATTGATGCCAATAGTTAGAAGAATAACGTGGCTCAATTTCAATCTATTAATCAACTGTCACATTAAGTCATATTACATCATTATGCAATGACAGTTAAAATAAAGCTGTGACCTAAAGCTTAGTAAACAATGCAGACAGTTCAAAAATTCATTTTTAATAAAGCAGTAGCATTTACATATGACATGCATAACTTCAAATGCATTTTGAGCAAACTTCCTTGCTGGGCATAACCTTCAGGGGTTCATTTGTTGATTTTTAAACATATTTACATGGGTGTACTTTTTGAGGGTTTTTGTTTGTTTGTTTTCTTTTAATTGATTGTAGAGGTAATTTACCAGTGACACAGCTCCTTAAGTCAGAGAAAGCATGAGTTGACTGACGGACAGCAGTGAACAATCCAGCTCGGAAGGAGCCAAGACAACCTAAAAATACAAACAAATGTAATCTTTTTAGAGTGGGCATACTCACATAATCTGAAATTATATAGAGGCACAATATATATATTCCTGTGGACTTACAGATTCAGCATTCAAAGCAAGATTGCAAAAATACAAATTTGTGAAAAATATATACATATAAAAACCTAAGCGACCATTCTACTGTTTGACCAGTAGCTATGATGTGCTATGACCACCAGGCATGGAAACATGGAACAGACTGATGACTCTCAGAAAAAAAGGTTAGGAGCAGGGAGGGTGGGAAGAGATTAACCAGGGATCTTATATGCATACTAGAGGCCTGATACATGGATTTGTGCATTGGTGGGGTCCCTCGGCCTGGCCTGCAGGGATCGGGCTGAAACCAGTAGTCTATTATCTCCAGAGGGGTCCCAGATTGTGAGAAGGCACAGGCCAGCCCGAGGGACCCCCCCAGTGCACAAATCCGTGCACCAGGCCTCTAGTAGGTTTATGAAAGCTTCTCTTTGGAAAAGAACCTTAACACCAGAAGTGAAAACGTTCTTGGATTTGCAAAGAGATTTATTGTCACACAAAAAAAAATCTGTAACTCTATAGCAAAGACCTATACAGTTATCCTCAAATCTGTAGATCACAGCCTGATTTAAAAAGTGTCTGTAATTAAGTCAATAGAATTAGTTGGTGTTTCTGGTTACTGTAAACAACTTCCAATTCTTCCAATGTTGCATAGAGACTATCATAATAATATCTGCAAAATGCCTCAGTAGTACAAAGCAAAGCATGTTTATTGCATTCATTTTGTTCCTCACTACAACACTGTGAAATTACATATGGCAATCTGGCAGAAATAACAGCTGAAAAAATAGAGCTAAAATACTCACGGTCTTTAAAGTAACTAGGGGTCACTTAGTGCCAACAACATGTTTTTTAATAGCAGTATATCACTTCATTGTGCAGATAGTCATCAACTTACTAAAAAAGGTGGATTTGATAATCTTTTGCTGAGAAACAAACCCAAAAATTGGTAGCTCAAAATAATTATTTTACCTTAGTCATGAATTTGTGGGTCAAATATTTAGAAAGTGTGGGGTTGGGTGGTTTGTCTGTGCTGCACATACTGGAGGATCCACCTCCGAGACAGCTTTTCATTCACACGTCTCACAGCTCAGGCTCCTTGGCATCGCTCTCTCCATATGGCTTATCATGCTGCAGGGCTGCTCCAGGTGGCGGAGTTTCTCTGAGCCGGCTGGTTCTAACATGGCACTTCTTTTAGGGTAGCTAGCTTCCCAGAGGAAAAGGTGGAAGTTGCCAGGCCAACTAGGAGGCATGTTGTCACTTCCACCATTCTACTGATCAAGGCAGCCCCAGGTTCCACACAGATTCAAGGGGGAGAGGTGGCAAGCATGGACTCCATGTAGTGAATGGGAAGTGGCAAGAGTATATTGCAGAAGAGTATGTGTGATGGGAGATATTTCTGCAGCCATTTATGGAAGGTACAATGTATATCAGATTGATTTAAAGGCTCCAATTGAAGTCAATGTGTACATTAGTATCTCACTGCAGCTGTGACAAATTACCATAATCTTAGTGCTCAAATCAACGTAAATTTATTCTCTTAACTGCTATAGGAACCAGAAGTCTAAAATTACAGTCTCAACAGGGCTGTATCCCTTCTGGAGACTTCAAGGGAAAATCTATTCCCTTGCCTTTTTCAGATCCTAGAAACCACCTGCATTTTTTGGCTTGTAGGCCTATCCTCACATCTCTATAAACTTTTGCTTCATTGTTATATAACCTACTCCCTACAGGATACAAGATATCCTGCCTCCCTTGTATAAGGACGCTAACAATTACACTGGGCCCATGCAGGTAAGCCAGAATAATGTCACTATGTCAGGATCCTCAATTTAATTTTCAAAGTCCACTTTGCCATTATAAGGTAACATTTACAGGTTCTAAGAATTAGGACATGAACCATTTGGAGAACATCATTATTCAGCCTACAGTGATAGGCTGGAATATTTCCCCACATAAATAACACCTTACAACATAATGGTCTTTCTGCAGGCTAAATGAGACCTAAGCAGTTTTAGGACTTTATTCTTTCTCCAGATTCATTTGTCCCTCCTTCTCAATCACCCAGTCCCAGAATTAACTACTTAGATATTGCCTTAGGATTCCTCCTTTGTGAGAGAGCCACTTTTTGCATCACTGAGCAGTAAATAACAGCCAAAATTTGAGAGATCTTAGGTTAGAGGTCCATGTGAAATGTTTCATACGGTGAGTAGGACTCTAGGCTTGATGACAAAGTAGACTTAACCCATAATGCACTTTATATACAAGTCTATATTCATATGTGTGATAATGTTTTTATGGAAATCTGCAATGGAAATTACAGTATTGAGAGCCAGCTGCGTGACTACTCTAAAGCAGTATAATATAGTGCTTTATTATATTACCTTCCACTTCTCATTCTCATTGCACACCAGGGATAGGGGAACTCAGAGAGAATGAGTAAAAAGTTGAGAGTTAGAGAAAGACTATCCCAGTTTTTGTAACTTAAAGCAGAAGTTCTTGTAAGAAATGGGATTAGAAATAGAAATTTGTTTCCTGACTTGTTTGACTCAGTGGATAGAGCATCGGCCTGGGGACTGAAGGGTCCCAGATTCGATTCCCTTCAAGGGCATGTACCTTGGTTGCGGGCACATCCCTGGTGGGAGGTGTGCAGGAGGCAACTAATCGATGTTTCTCTCTCATCGATGTTTCTAACTCTCTATCCGTCTCCCTTCTTCTCTGTAAAAAAATCAATAAAAAATACATTTTTAAAAATACATACCGGTATATATGATTGATTGATTGATTTATTTTTAGACATCACTCCTTTATTATACTGATCTGAAAAAGATGTAGTAGTTATGCTCAAAATGCTTACTGGGCCCACGTGGCAGGGCCAAGCAATTGGAACGTGATTCAGCACTCACGCACAGTGAGACACACCGGGACATGATAAATAGACACTTCAGTGCCATAGACAAGGCCAGGGAGGGCTTCTAAAACAGCAGGATGGCTCCTGCAGGTCAACGAGCTCATCCCCCGTGGCGTGAGGAATGGCTTATCTGGTGAGGACCACATGTGGGAACAGTTCAACCGCCACTAAAAACCCCAGAAGGGTTTTTGTTTTGTATTATTTTATAGATGTATACTTTTCTTTTGTAAAAGTCAATGCAACATGTAAACATTCAGGATTGATCCCAGTCTTCTAGAGCCAGCTTTTCTGGGGTCAAGGAGGAAATGTTTGACTCACAGGCGTTCATCTTCCACTGGAATGACTAGAGCCCCCAATCAGTTTACCTGACTACAGAATAGCACAGGACTGCTCTCAGGAACACAAATAGGCTCTCTTGCCTCTCATTGGTCAGCCTTAACATGGCTTCTCCTTATCCCCCTACTTTCAAGCAGGTCCTTAGTAATAAACAAAACACTAGCAAAAAAAAAAAAAAAAACAAGTTATTATCTCTGGACTCTTAGATAAGAGTCTCCCTCGGCTTAGACTGAGGACCTATGCCCTACAGATGTCATTCTGACTAGATTGTACGAAGGAAGTGGGTGCGGGAGACAAAATGGCTAACACGAAATTGGGAGCCGCCAGTCCCCATCTGCAGCTACAGCCTAAGATGCCTACAGGTGTGGTCAGTGTGACATGTGCAGAGGAGAGATGCAGAGGAGTGGGGTGGGAGGGAGGGTGTCCTGGGGAAAGGTGTCTGCCTGCTCGCCTTCACTTCTTGGCCTTGCCCTGGGCAGCCACAGCATCCATGGCTTTGCGCACAGTGTCTTCATCCCCCAGGAACTGCATGGGCTTGATGGGCCTCAAGTTCTTGTCCAATTCACAGACAGTGGGAATACCAGTCGGCAGGTTCAGCTCCATGATCGCCTCTTCAGAAACACCTTCCAGATGTTTGACAACGCCCTGAAGGCTGTTGCCATGAGCTGCAACCAGTACCCATTTCCCCTCCTTAATCTGGGGCACGATTTCTTCATTCCAAGAGGGCAGAGCTCTGACAATAGTGTCCTTCAGACTCTCACAGGAGGGTAGCTGGTCTTCAGTGAGGTCTGCATACCTTCGACCCTTACTGACGTTGCTGTAGAAGGGGTGGTTAGGCTCCATTGGTGGGGGTTGGATGTCATAAGAACACCTCCAGATCTTTACCTGGGCCTCGCCATGCTTGGCAGCAGTTTCTGCTTTGTTAAGCCCAGTCAGACCCCCATAGTGCCGCTCATTGAGACGCCAAGTCCTCACTACAGGCAGCCACATTTGGTCAATGGCATCCAGCACCATCCAGAGGGTCCGAATTGCTCTCTTCTGCACCGAGGTGAAGCAGATGCCAAACTCATAGCCCGCATCTGTGTGGCCAAGAACCATGGCTCTGGTATGGGAATGGAGGAGATTCCTCAGCAACACAACTTCGTCCTGAGCGACACATCTCCGAGCCCCTCCAGTGAATCCTGAGTCCGGAGGACTGATTAATATTTTTCTAGGGATGTATCCATTTTATCCAGTTTCTAAATATATTTTGGGATAGCAATTTGTAATATTTTATTTCACGATGATTTTTATTTTATGATTATAAATCTCATCCATATTAGGAGTTTTCATTATTTCCCACTTTTATCCTCCACTTTGTTTTGGTATTCCCTCTTTCTTTTCCCTTGATTATTCTTACAAGAGGTCAGTCTGACTTATACTTTTCAAAGAAGATATATTGTTTTTGTTAATCTCTTTTATTTTCCATTTAACTTATTTCTATCGTTATTTTTATTATTTCCTTATTTCTTGTTACTCAGGGTTTACTTTCAAAAGTTTTTCTTGATTGGAATGCTTAGATCAGTTTTTTAAGTATTCCAATCTGTCCTTCAACTGCTGCCTCAGCAGTCAGCACCCTGATTCCTGTGCTAGGTCAAACCAGTCTTCAGTCTACCCATGGGTTTCTCGTATTTCCTGTTTTGTTTTAAATTTTTATTTTGTTATTATTAATGCCTGGAATGCTGTTGTTTCCCTTAAGATGATTTTAAGGGAAGTCAGCAATCTAGGCTAATTCACCAGCTTGGTAAGAACAAAAAATTAAAAATAATTTGTAATGTTTATATTTAGGCTCAGAATTTAGCATTCTTCCCAAAAAGTTTCTCTCTGTTAATAGAATCTTCCACTCTATCAGGTGATATTTTAAAGGTCAATATATATGGTAGAGTTATTTATTCCATTTTTTAAGGAAAAAAACACAACTTAAAAACCCAGAGCACTGTCCAACTGTTGTGGCTCAGTGGTTGAGCATCAACCCAGGAACCAAGAGGTCATGTTCCATTCCAGGTCAGGGCACATACTGCGGTTTGGGGCTCAATCCCCAATAGGGGGTGTGCAGGAGGCAGCCGATCCATGATGTCTCACTCTCATAGATATTTCTATCTCTCTCTCTCTCCCTCTCCCTTTCTCTCTCTCTAAAAATTAATTTTTAAAAAAATATAAAAAATAACCTGAACAAAAATAAATATTAAAAAAAAGAAAGAGAGCATTTATGTCCAAATTCTATGTTTTTGATGCAATAATAGGATATATGGATAGATTGAAGTGCTTTCTGAACCCCTAAACACCATACAAACAGTATAGGTTATTAGTGGCCTAATCTCTTGGGTATTCTTATCTCACTATAAGGACCTCTATGTATGGGCTGAGGTAATTAGTAAAATTACTGTTAGGATTACCAGGGATAGGATTTTAAAGGTTTGTTTTTTGTTTGTTTTTTTATCAAGTAGGAAAATCTGGCCTACAAAATATATAAATCAAATAACAGAAAAGTTTAACTTAGAGCATTTCTTTTCTGTCTTCAGCAGTGGAATTAATCACATATGCCTGTGTATAAATAAGGTCCAAAATATGAAATTTGAATAAGAAAATAAACCATATAAAAACACATTTTATTTCATATATGGGTTGTTCAAATGATAATACATTATGTTTTTTAAAAGTTTAACACAATAGAAAGTGTATCTCCATTAATGTACTTATTTGATATTACCCATAGCTCTGAAGTTAAAAAATATATAGTGTACATTTAAATATAGAAGAAAAAAAATTAAATAAGTTGTATAACCTAACACAGTAGAAATGCTTTGTTTAGGTCTGGGACTAGAGCCTACATATTACTTACTTATTTTTTTATTTGATACTTAGCTTTTCCACCATGCTGCAAAATAAGACAGATAAAGTGAAGAGAAAGCTGGGTTGAGCCAGCAAAGAGAAAGGTTGAGAAAAAAGGAGAATAAAGGAAAAATGTTTTACCTAAGGAGCTCCTCCAAAACACATATTATTCCATTAAATTCTTATTTATTTTTATTGAAATATATTCTGTGATCAAATGTATGTATTTTCTAGAGTTTTAAACACATACAGTTTCAATACACGAACTTAAGAAATGGAGATTAACACTATTTATAATGCAAGCTTGTAACTCTTTAATAGTCAAATATTATCTGTTTTAATTATAACATAAATCAAATTTCTACCTAAAATTGAGAAGCTGAAGTAGTCTTATTATTCTGTCTTTTCTCCACTTTAACAGTGCAAACTTATAGTTTTTGCTTTAGAAAGTGAGTCATGTATAGCCCTAGCCAGTTTGGCTCAGTGAATAGAGCTTCGAACCACGTACTGAAGGGTACAACGTTCTATTCTGGTCAGGGCATGTACCTTGGTTGCAGGCTCTATCATGTGTACAGGAGGCAACCAATTTATGTGACTCTCTCACAGGGGGGTTTGTGTCTTTCTCTGCCCCTTCCATGCTCTCTAAAAACCAAAGAAAAAATATCCTCGGGTGAGGATTATAAAAAAAAGAAAAAAAGAAAAAAGAAAAGAAAGCGAGTCAGACCATTGTGGACACTCATAAATGAAAGAGTAACTACTTCAGGACTATGAAAAAGAGCACTTAGTTAAAAAAGGGTCTTCTACACAGTGGTTTTAGGTTGCGATTTGTTAATTGTCCTGAAGGGAAGATATAAACACACACCATCTTTTCAATATCAGGCTCCCTAAGAAAGAGGGGAAAGAAGAGATATACAGAATCTAAACATGGTCTCTGGAATCTGTTCAAAAACAAACAAAAAGTAAAGACCTAAACTATAATTAAGCCCTCAAATATCAAGAGAAAAAAAATAATGTAATAGAAAGTTACTCACAAAATTATATCAATAAATTTAAGCTGTAGAGTAATTCATGTACTATATTAGAGTACATTTCTACCTTTTATTTTTTTCAAGGAAGATTCATTGTTCTTTTTCACAGGGCTCAAAGCTCAAGTTGGCTGGGATGAGAGTGGGATGGAAAAAGGCAGTGGGGAGAAACCTGAGCCGAAAGGAGGACAAAAGCACACCTTTGTGGGCTCAACCTACAGAGAACCCCATCAGAAAGCAATGAGAAAATTATACCCGACTTTTATTGCTGAGAAATGCTAACTATCCCGAGTAATATTAATACAAATGTTCTCATATTTCCTTAAAGCAAACTGAAAGCTAGTTATCTTTAACTGATATTTAGTTGAAATCATCTCATCTGTTTGGGTATGGAAATGACCTTAGTCCTGGGAAGTCCAAAATTGTGTACCAAAGCAAAACATGGAGATAGATACTGCAGGAAGTGATGAAGAGATGTTGCCAAGAGAGAAATTGTTAATCTTTCAATAATTATTTATGCCACAGCTTTGGGGCATATAGAGGTATTTTCTTTCATTAATAGATAATCCATGACCTAAATATAAATTAGTATTAGCCCAATGACTCTATGAGAAAGACAGGAAATTAAAAGTCAAAATTCCACATGGTAATTAAAGAACAATTCTAAATTTTTCTACATAACTTGAATAAAAGAACAGCAATGTTGCATATAGGATATAATCTTCCTCCCAAGGCAAATTAAATTGTATTAGATGAAATATACAAGTAAAGGACTAGACTTGATCATATCTAATCCCATTCATTTCTAGAATTATGTGAATAAAATCCTTTGAACTTACCTAAATATTTTGGGTAAAAATATTCCTAGAAAGAAAGAAAAATAAATATATTAGAAAGTTAGATTTCATTATAGAGTTAAAACAATTTTAAAATGTATTTTTACTTTAATGACACAAATACGTGGGGGAAGGAGGGGAAGGGTATAGGTGAATGTAGAGGAGGTTATGGGGGGGATAAATCGTGAAGGGAAAATTTTAAAATACATATCTTTTTAAATATGCAAGTAAGTTACATACAATTGTCATTTCCACATTATAAGATTTTTTTCTATAGCAAAATATACTAGGAGTAGAAAACTAATAATGTTAAGCTAATAAGATGCTTAGTCTTAAGGCAATATTGACCTATTAAGTTATGCTTCAAAACTTTCTAATCTGAAAACAGGTTCTATTAAAGCTTTCAAATGTAATCATATATGTCCCCTTTTTGTAAATTCTTTGTTTTTCCCCTAGAGATTAGATAACCATTTGACACATTTCATGCCATGCTGATTGCACAAACCAGATCCAATGATGAATAACACTGACATCATCTGAACTGAAGTGGACATTTATTTTTCAGCATCAGGGGTACAAATAATACCTCACTTATTAATGGGGAATGTACCAAAAGTTTGTCTGTAAATCAGTAATTTGGACTATATTTCTTAGTCCAAATGTTAAAAATGACTTCTAATGGTAAGATTCTCAGGCTGGTTCACAAAAGACTTCTTAAGCCATAATACATCTAATGTTATTAGAAGCATAAGAACACCCCATGAGAAACCAGCATTTCTACACAAAAACGTAATGAAGTGCAAAATGTAACTTCATCTAGCACAGAATCAAAAGTCTTTAACTGTTTCTTTCTCTCACATATAAACCTACACAGCACACTACTAGTTTATAAGGATAGGACCTCCCATCGAGTATTTCAGCTGGCTGTGTCTTCTACAGAACACAAGCCAGGAGGATAAGCAACAATGAATGGGTTCAAAAGGAGATTATGTGATGACTGAAAAGAATATATTAGGGTAATAGGGAAGTAAACAGTGGGGTAGAGATTGGGAATGTGAATTAGGGTATTAGGGACATGGACAGCGAGTGGATGGGGCAGAATGGAAGTGAGAAGCAGTAACAAATGCTTTTCTTCCCTTTTATTTCTCCCATTTCTTCTTTTGTCTGCCATATATTTCTCTTTTGCCAATGAGAAAAATGAGTGGAGGAGAGAAAAAACATTCATGAGTTCCCTTCCCCACTATCTTCCCTTCACTCCAGTATGGTCTTTGGCCTACTCCCCATTTGTTACTCAAATGCTAACATAATCAAGTATTTATGTATGAGTGATACAATATGATATCTCAGCTATGCACAATTGCTTTAAAATGCTCCAGTAAACAAAACAAAATTAGAGTGGGCATAATAGAAAAAAGGCAAAACAAGTATGGTGGATTACTGATCATTGTTGAAATGGAGGGAGGATATATTGGGGTATTATATTTTTCTCTGTACTTCGGTATATATTTTAAATTTCTATAAAATTAAATGTGTGTGTGTATCTATTTCCTAAAAAGTAAGAATACTCTATATATTGTGTGGAATAAAATATTTTCCTCCTGCCAAATGCTTATCCATAAAAGCAACAGAATGGAGAGAAACATTTTGCTTCAATCCCAGAAAGTATTAAAAATGAATTTTTAGCCGAAACCGGTTTGGCTCAGTGGATAGAGCATCGGCTTGGGGACTGAAGAGTCTCAGGTTCAATTCTGGTCAAGGGCATGTACCTTGGTTGCGGGCACATCCCCAGTAGGGGGTGTGCAAGAGGCAGCTGATCAATGACTCTCTCATCATTGATGTTTCTAACTCTCTATCCCTCTCTCTTCCTCTCTGTGAAAAATCAATAAAATATATATTTTTTTTAATGAATTTTTAGGTACCTTGGGAAAAATTCCTTTTCAACCTATAAAGGTAGGCAGAGGTAAAAGAATTAAAGAGAACACAAATTATTACTATCTTGGACAAGTTCTCCAACTGTAGAGATGATTCTTCCTCATTATCTCATGGTCCTCAGAGCCATGGAAGAAGTAAAAGAGGGTCTTTGTATATATGTTCTTCCTCATTTCCTTTTGGTTATGTAGTTCATCTCAGAAAAGAAAATATCTGAGGTAACCATGAAGGTTATCAAACTTGAATTCTTAGAGGCATTATTTATACTGCTACCTGCAAGATATTTTGGAGAATATCCTCGCCTGGAAAATAAGAGGACTAAAAATAAGGTCATATTTCTGCATATTTAGAGATGTTTATGATTAGATTTTTGTAAACTAACTTGGAAAAATTAATACACTAAGATGTAAATTCTAACCCTAGGCATGACTGATGATATAAAATGGCTTAGGAAAGTTCTCAAGGATTTATGGAATAAATTAAAATATTCTCAGGAAACACAGTGCTGAGTGAATTTTTCAGTGAGGATTCACTGACTACCTATTGTATACCAAGCTCTAGATTAAAGGCTGGTTAAAAATGCCAGTGGAGAGATTTAATTAAGTATAGTAATAACAATGCAATCACATCTTGTACCCACAATGTCTGTACATGTGGGCATATACACATGCACAGACATTATATTTAAGATGTCTTCCCTCCCTACCCCATATTACCAAGTTATGGTTGGAAGAAAGTATTTACAAACCATGAGGTTGATACTATTTGCTGGTAGTTATTTAAACCATCAATAATAAAATTATATATTGGTTACAGCATATTGCTTTTGGCAATAGTTTCTTCCTGACTAGTCAACCTTCTTTTAAGGTATCTCCTTCTGAAATACTTCAGTAGTTACAAGTGAAATGTGATCTATACACAATCATTTAATGTTACAAAGATACACAGAGGAACAGACTCAAGCTGGAACTGTTCTGTCTATAACTGTATGACCAACTGTGCTAACATTAATTTTCATGAGCTCTTACCGTTTCAGGGTAATTTTCAAAGATCTCCCTCGCTTCTTCTTTATTGCACAGTTCTTCGATGCACTCTCTTTCAAGATTACCCGGTTTGACTTCTTCAAAATGAGAATTTGCTCTGCGTTTCCTAACCAGAACTTGTGAAGCATGTTGCTTTGACAAAACTGAAAAAAAAAAAAAAAAGTTTATATAAAGAAATATTTCATTTCTCCACCTAAATGTATTATTTTTAAAACAATCCTATCTAATAAAAATAATATGCAAATTAACCATCACTCTGCTACACCCACCAGTCAATCAAGAGCAGCTATGCAAATTAACTCCAATCAAGATGGCTATGGCCACAGGGAACAGGAGGGAGTCTTGGGTTTCCCAGGCAATGGAGGAAGCCAAGTTTTCCACACACTCTGACAGGCCCAGGCCTCCACTCAAGGCTACAAAGTTTCAATTATAGAAGGTAAATAAATCCTAGATACCAGGGCCTCCTGCTTGGATTGCCAGGGGGTATAGCCAGCCTGCAAACCACCACAGGCCCCTCGCCCAGGATGCCCCCTGCCCCAAGGGAACCCCCACCCTGATCTGGTACATCCTTCAGGACAAACCAGCTGGCTTCCACACATGCACCAGGCCACTATCCTATCTAATAAAAGAGTGCTATGCAGATTGACCATCACTCCAACACACAAGATGACTGCCCCCATGTGGTCAAAGATCCTGTCCCCATGGGGACACAAGATGGCCAGCAGGGGAGAGCAGTTGGGAGCCACCAGGTCTACAAGGGAGGGCAGTTGGAGGCAATCAACCTGTTAGGCGTTACCAAGCTGGCAGAGGAGGGAAGTTGGGGGCAAACAAGCTAGCAGAGGAGCAGTTAGACATTAATCAGGCTGTCAGGGGAGTGGATAGGGGGTAATCAGGCTGGCGGGCAGGCGAGCAGTTGGGATCCAGAGGAATGTCCGACTGCCCTTTTAGACCCAATCCCACCAGGCAGGTGAACAACCCTTGAGGGGTCCCAGATTGGACAGTCTCCTCCCACCCCCACCCAGTGCACGAATTTCGTGCACCGGGCCTCTCGTAAATACATAAACAAACAAACAAACAAATAAATAAAAGAAGTTATCCCCATCCTCCTAGTTAGTGCTCTTTCTTCTATGCATACTGTCACTCAAACACCCACATGTACTTAATTAAAAAAAGAAAAAGAAATTATATGGTTGTGGAATAGACAAGTTTGATAGCTTATAAAATAAGCCCCTCCAATAGAGTGTATTTGTAAAGGAGTCTACAATTCCTTGTCAAAAGTTATAAATATGGTATCACAGATCCAAACTAAAAACTACAGAACTGTAGGATGAGAACAATATGTGGTCAGACATGCTTTTAACAGCTGGCTCTGTGTATAAGCCCCAAAACATCCAACCTACTGGCCTGAAATAATGTCCAAAAAGTTCCATTAAATATCATAATAATAGCCATGGCATATAAGCAGACAAAAGCGGTTTTGTTTAATCTCCTTTAATCCTAATCACAACTGCTCTAAATATAATTTTCCCGTATTACACAGGAACTAAAAATCAACTGAAGTTGAGTTTAATTTTATCACGTTCACAGAGCTGAGGACAGAGCCACACCTGCCTCCAAAACCTCTTCTCTTCTTGCATTATCACACGGTCTTGAATCATTTGCTTCACTTCTTTAGATAGAAAAGTTTTTCAAGAAAGTCCTTATTAAAACCCAATTATGTTGCCTGAAAAGTGTTACATTCGGACTCACACTTTTAGGTTGTAATGTTTAATTATGAGTCTTTCAAAATTAGAAGCATAACTGAATCAGCTTCTTTTTTTAACTTCTCTGAGTCATCCCTTCTCCAAAAAAGTGACCACAGCCAGTTGAACAACTATGTCAATAACCTAATCATTGTTCAAACACTAACTGGAATTCTCTTTTGAAATGGTCTTCATGGCCTTCACAGGCTCCTTTCAATATTTTCTGTGGGAACAAATCTTTGTGTGTTTTTTCCAGCGTAAATGTGTTTTATCTCCAAAAAAGTAATTTTCATTACACATATTACAAATGCGTCAGTTAAGCATCCGTAATAAGCATAGTGGAGTTAGTAATGCTTTTACTCACAGAAAAGTTCCTCCCCTGTTCAATTCAGTTGAACCTCAGTCAAAGAGAGCTCTTATCTTCAGGCCCCTTCCCCACTTGGTTGTTGAAGCTTGCTACTCTCTGTTCAGGTGGGTCAGGACCATAGGTCTGCAGATTGCCCATACTGATCAGTCAGAAGAGGAGGTATCAGATGAAGGAGGTCTAAATCTTTAGGATAGCTCATCCTCTGAATCACTTCCATTCTGCTCTCTTGACCTTGAAAAGACCATTTGTACATTCCTCCCTCCAAAAGGTCATCTCTTTTTTAGTTTTGCTTTCTGTCATTCCTTTACCCAGGCTCTTAGTATCTGCCATCCCAAAAATAAAAAACTGCCCCTAAAATAATGTGTCTGAGAAGAGAATCTTTTGTTTGTTTTTTGTTGTTGTTTTTCTGTTTGTTTGTTTTGAGAAGAGAATCTTTGCCTAGCATTTGGGTTGTCAGAATCTTTGAATCTTTGTTTCTGCTTCAGTGTGGGATGAGTTCAGGGAAAATGGCTTTCAAAGTACAAACAGAACAACTAGATAATAATTTGAGCTATAACTGTACCTCTAATGTCTCAACTGTTAAAATGGCATGGTTTTCTTAGTCAAAGCCTGAAAAAAATATAATTGCATTTTAATATATAAAAACCTTTAGTTAATAGTGATAGGAAAACATGTGACCACATATTACAAATTTTAAGTGATCACATATTAATTAACTATAAAAATTTAATTTTTAAGTAAATAATTCTACTACAGAAGATTTTCAATTGAGGGGGGATATTTATAAAAGTGCAAGTTGCAAATATTAAAAAAAAAAAAATCCAAAGGCATACTTTTACTTGGGCATTCATCAGTCTGTATAATTATTATGAACTTTCATAAAGCTTTTATTAGCCTTCAGAAAGAAATGATATGTCTGTAAGTACAATATACATCAATTAAAAAAAATTTTAAAGGAAGTTATTACCTTTGCTTTTCTCTAAATTTCACTTTTTTCTCATAATGAGCACTATGTTGCTGAACACTGATTCCCTGAATGTTATTATGCTAATGGTAAGAAAAATATAAGAAAAGGTGAACTATGCCTGCCCTTCAAAAGGAGAGAGCAATAAATAGGCTAGCTTTAAGGTAGTAAAAGATCATAAAAGATAAGGATAGAAATCTGGAAAAGAATATGAAAAAAATCTATGAATTATTATATATGCTGCACTCAAAAAAGTGAGTTCTTTTGAATCCAAATTCAAACATTTGGATTGGAAGGAGTAAGGCCTGTTATTTATTTAGAAATAGGAAAGCCATTGGTGACATTGAAAAACAAACATACAATCAAACCTGTGGCCACTGACCTCCATTCTGGGTCAGATCAATGAATGAATAGGGAAACTGTGCCTAAACTGTTCAGTCACAACAGAAGTGCAATGGACCTCTCTTTTCTCCAAGATTTAATTATGTTTTTAATTTACTGCCTCAGTCTAAGGGGAAAAAATAGAATAAGTCAAACATTCTGCCATTGTGTCCTAAAGATTATCACCTTTCATTTAGCCACAAAGAAAGAAAGCAGTACATTTTACTCAAAAGACAGAACAGGTCGCTTGTTTATTACTCAGGAAATAATTTTATTGACCATCTTTTTTATTTGATTTGTTTGCTCTCAGTCAATGGTAAATTACTGTATTTCATGAGAGTTCAGGTTTTGGCAAAGTATGAAGAGGAATTTTCTATAGCCTTATCTTTTCTTCTCTCAACTATTACATTGCTAACTGGCCATACTTTCTGAGGCTACAGTGGGAGGTCTCTTTTGTGACATGCAGTAAGGTATTCCTGCAGTCAGTCCTCATGTCTTTTCTATTTACTACACTCTGGGAGACCAAACTATCATGTGATTTTGATGTCATGTACCAAGAGTTTATAGCTCAGGAAGTGTTTTGTTTTTTGTTCTATTTGACCTATTTTTTTTTTATTTTTTTTTTAGGATGCCATCAATTATATTATTAGCTCACTGGCCTGTGTGTGTATTTATGAAGCAACAGGCAACTTGTTTTTGGACATTTTTTTAAGGCAACAATGAAACTGTTGGCCTAACGCTACAATATCCCATTTCCTGCAATACCTCACAGATCTCCACAATAAGCAAATCTGAAGTATACTTACAGGCTTAGAAAGATTTTAGATCTCAATGGCTACCCTTTTGACTCTTAGGATATATATATATAATGCAGATGTGAATGTGAGATTACTTGGCATATTCGTATATCATTAAGTTGGTGTTTATAATTCAATACAATTTCTGTCAGCCTCTCAGAATTCCCTGTTGACATTCCAAAAGGCTAAATAACAATAGAATATGAGAGTCTAAATAACAATGGAATAAAATGATAACTTATTAAGATATAAGAGAAAATGACTGGTATATAAGGAGTCAAGGAAAATAAAACAAGTTATAAGAGAAAGTGCATGTAACATATAGAAATTCATGGCCACTTTTTAGAAAAACCACTCAGACAAAATATAAAGTGTACTTGTTTTCTTCCATAGTAATGAAATAATAAAATAAGCATTTGTGTTCTACTTGATGGTCATTATGAACTGAATGTTTGCTTCTTCCAGAAATTCATATGTGGGAGTTCTAATCCCCAGTGTGGCTGTATTTGGAAATGGGATTCTAAAGAAGTAATTAAGTTAAATGAGATCATAAAGGTGGGGCCCAGATCCTAATGAAGTAGTGTCCTTATTAGAAGATGCATTAGAGAATTTCCAATTAAGATTATATGAAGCAAGGATTACTGGAATGAAAAATTAAAATAAAGCCAACAGTCTTGCAGAATTTAAAAATAAATTACCCTAACAAATAAATAAATAATAAAAATGTTAGGAATCAGTAGACTATAGTTTGTAGTTTAAGCTACTGATCAATGATAACAGAATCTCAATATAGAACCTCAGGAAACTAACATAAACTAACATTTAAGGAAAAGCAGAGCTCATCAAAGCAACAGAAGCAGATTTAGTAACACATATGTAGAGAAAGAAAATT